CTCTCTCTCTCTCTCTCTCTCTCTCTCTCTCTCTCTCTCTCTCTCAAATAAATAAATAAAAATTTAAAAAACAAAAAAACAAATGAGACTCTTTGAAGTAGAAGGTGAGAGGGCAAAGGCTCTCATGAGTCCCCCTCTGTATAGGAATCTCTCTAAAGTGCTGATCCAATAAGTAAACAAGGTGACAATGGATAGTTTCTCTGCCTAGTAATAGTGTGCTGATACAGAACACTCATGGAGCGGATAGTTACCATTGGGTTGGAGTCTTTCTTAGGAGAGGAGCTGGTGGCATCCTCTAATTCTTGGGATGATAGAAACTTGGAACAGGATTCCTGAGCAAGAGAGTTTGGGAAAGCTGCTTCCTCCAGACTTGTTGCAGCACCACCTGCTTCCTTTATTTCCACCTAGGAAAAGCAATCTTTATTTCAGAGAACACTTGTGGGTACACTGCATAATAAAGAAAGGTCCAATTTGAGTTCCATATACAAGTTACATGGTAGAAATACTGTACCATCCTCTCTTCCCCCAGGTGTGTCCAAAACCACTATCCTTTCTAGAAAAGGTGACAAGTCATTTCTGCAGCCCCACTTGGTACTGGGGACCCTTGATGACCAAAACTGTGAGATACAGAGATGTGGTTGGATGTGGTGCTTATGCCACCGAGCCCTCAGCTGGTGATGTGCCTCTTGCATTGTGCAACAGCCCCACCTCTAATGGCGCCAGAAGCCTGGTGGCATCTCTATGGCACCTCCTTTACCGCACACCCTTTAAACTTGCTCTGTGGTTTGTGTTGAATGTTCTAGTCAATTATTTTGCTTTTACCTCAGGAATCCCTTTGATACCACCTGCAGTGGTCCTTTCCTGACAAAATAGTAGGACAATCATTAACATGAAACAGCAAGTTCTGGAGATAATAGCCAGCTTTGTAAGTACTCCTGTGCAAAAACTCTCAACTCAGTGACACTCTATACAAAAACTAGTAAGAAACAAAATATTACTGAAAAACCAACAGTAAACACTGAAAAGTGCCAAGGGTTAAAAAAATTACCATCAGAATTGTTTGAAAATTGAGATGCTTCCTTTGAGCATCTACTAAGAATATGAGGAAGGCTGGGAATTGCACATGCTGCACCATCCCTATTCAGCTCAGCCCTACCTACCTGGGCTGCCTGTCAGAACGCAAGTGAGCCTCCTAGAAGACCAGGAGGCCATCAGAGTCCTTCAGAACAGTGCTGATGCAAGGGAACATTCCAAAGCCCTCACAGGAAATCAGAGACTAGAGACTACTTGCCAAACGAGGAGGTAACGCCAACTTGGAGGCCCAAACAATAACAATTACGGTGGATTTGCAAATTCCTTAGCCCAGCAGACTAGCACCTGGGAATAAATCTTAAGAGGAGACAGAAAACTTTAACTAGATTTCAAGTTACAGCTTTGTTTATATCTCAAATCTTATAACACGTAGAAAGGGAACTTTCCATGCACATGTCATCAAAGTTTAGAATCAACTTGTCCCCTATAGCCAACAAATGTTTTGGTTTTTTTTTTAAATTTTATTTATTTGTGTGTGTGTGTGTGTGTGGCCAGCTCAACCCACCAGGGGGCGGGGCTGGCTGGCATGTGGTGCTGGGGGATTGAACTGCGGTCCCTGTGCTTTGCTAAGCTTGTTCTAAGTAGGTGCTTTAGACCACTGAGCCATCTCACCAGCCCCAACAAATGTTATATCATGTCCTCAAGCCCAGGCAAACACTGTCTCAGTTATTTACACTACAATGAAATTCTTTTTTTACAGAATGAATCTAAATGAAGGACAATAGTTCAAATATATACTTTTTTGGGGGGAAATTAGCATTTAATCTGGACTTTAAAATAATGGCACTATTTAAATAATAAGTCCATGTTCTATATTTTTCATTTTATTAATCAGCAAGCACTCCATAAAAATTCAAAAAGCAAAACTTTTTTTTTTTTTTTGCCAGACTGGCAATCTGTCAAACCTGAATGATATTAGGGGAGACCTCCACCCCCACTCTCTGAAGGACAACAGCTGAGCTAGGACCATCAGGCAGGAGGCGCTGGGACTCCAATTCTGCCTGGTGGCAAAATGCGCTTTTTGGGTCTGGAGTGAGCTGAACGGGTTCTGAAAGAGGTCTTTCCCCCCTGGATAAGGCTGCATTCCACGGTTCTTCTACGGTCAAACCAAGATCAGCAGAGGCCTAGGCCCTGCCCCACCTTTGCCTATACTCTAGAGCATGGATTAGGACACGAGGGAACCAGAAAAGCAGAAACCTTAGCTCCTGCAGCTGGGGCTTATGCAGTATAAAGCAAAGCTCCAGTCATCTCGGCACCAATTTAAAAATGATCCACAAAGCTTACTAGACCTAAAATGCTTGAATGAATGTGTAATCCAGTGTTCTAACCTGGGTCTTTTTTAATTGGGGGAAGACTATACTTTGCTTCCTTGGAAATCTGATTCATTTCATAAAAAGAGGGAACCTGATCGGTTTTGCTTCAGCAACAAGAAAGCAGAGAATTAACAGTAGTCAAAGTGGGTAATTTGCTAGATCAGCAAAACATATTCAGGCTCTGATTTCTATTACTTATGCTTGAAGACTCATCCCTTATTACCAGAGGACGGTCTAACAACACCTGACTTCAACAAACACCGAATTCTTGGTGTGACTAACAAGCCTCAGGGGCTGGAGAGATGGCTCAGTAGGATAAGCGCTTGACTGGCAAACGCAAAGATCTGAGTTCAATCCCCGGTTCCGCCAAAACAAAAAACAAGCCTCACATATTTAAAGAGGGTGGGCGGGGAGTAAACTGGTGGGGGGTGTGACTTAGTGGTACAGAGCTTTTCTGGGATGAGGCCCTGGGCTCCATCCCCAACAGCAAAAAAACCAAACCCCAAAAGCTAGGGTGTGAACACCGAACCCTCATTAACTACCCGGCTGCTTCCACAGAGCCGGGTGACCACAGGGCCCGAGCTAACACAGCTGCTCCTGAGCTGCCAGGCGCGGGGACCTCCACCCAGGGCAGGGACAAAGGCGGGCGCCCTGGCCCCGGGGTCGACTTGTCGGCTGTGTGACCCAGGACGCCCTCCCGCGAGGCGGCGCCCCTGGAAGTCGCCGCTTACTGGGATCACCCGCACCCCGGCGCCCAGCGGCGCGGGCAGCAGCGACGACAGGACACGCAGGCTGTAGGCGGGCGGCGCGGTATCCTCTGCCGCGAGAGGCTCCTCGCCCGCGGAGGGGACGCCCAGGTAGGCGTCTCTGAGCACCGGCAGCTCGTCCGGATCCGGAGGCACCGCCGCTGCTGGGCTCGGGCCCGCGGCCTCGGCCTCCGACGCGCACTCGGAGCCGAACAGGTCGGTGGCCATCTCATCGTCGGGGCCGGCCATGGCGTCCAGCAGAGGGGCCTCTTCCATGGTCGCACAGGGATGCGCAGCCCACCGGCAAAGCGCGGCCGGGTGAAGGACGCCGGTCAACACGGCTGGGCAAGGGTCACGTCGCCCCCTCCTTGCCTACAACACCGGGGACGCGGCCTGCTCAGGGGGAGCGGGACAGCCGACGAGGGAGGGCCAAACCCAGCGAACCTCTGGGATCGCACCACGGCTGCCCCACAGCCGGGATGAAGTGCGGCGGCCGTTGGCGGTTGGGGAAGGGGCGGGGCTTCGGGAGGGGGCGGAGTCTGTACCCGGGCTGGGCGGGGTCAGAGAGTGGGCGTGGTCTAGCGGAGGGGGCGGAGCCCTGAATCCAGCCTTCACCCGTGGGAGTGGGAGGAGAGCTCCAGGGATCAGAGGCTTCTGGCTCAAACTGGGAAATCGGCTCCCAAGGAAGTGTGACGAAGATCCAGCTGTGACTATCTCATCACCTGGCCTCAATTTCCTTTCTACACTTCCAGGGCTCAAAACGAAGCACCTGGAGGGGACAGAAGGATGGATTTGCAGGGATATCTTTTCAACCTCTCACGCTCTTTTGATCCTCATTGCTGAAAGGTGGAATGGAAACAACTCAACTTTGGTGTTTGGGAGTGGTGGTGCCCTCTTGTAAGCCCAGCGCTCTGGGAGGCTGGACCAGGAAGTTCACCAGTCCAGTCCGGCCTGAGTGACTTAGCAAGATACTGTCTCAAAATAAAAGGCTGTGGATGTAACTCAATGAGAAGGTTCTGGCTTCAATCCCTAGTACCAACAAATTTCTCACTGTTGGGGTGGTCCCACCATGTAAACCATCTATGATGTGGACCAGGCAACTAGCTAATTACAAATGCATTGGACTTGAAGCCATCCTCTTGGGCATGTGGCTGCAATGTGGGGCAGAATTCAGTACAATTTCTCTGCACCAGTGCTGTTTCCATCTGTTGGGCTGCACTCCACAGGGATGTTTGGGTTTCTTTGGGTGAAAGTCAGGGTAGCCTTCCCCTTGGTTAGATATGACCGAACCCTCCTCCTAAAGTATTTCAACATTACAGATAACTCTGACATCCTCTAGAACCTGCTGGCCCCAGTCACACCGGCTTTCAGATCTTGTTTCCTGGGGTCCGCGTGTGTGGGATGATCCTGCTCCCATTTCACGGCTGAATAATCGTACCACGTGCATCCTGGCTGAGTCAGTGCAGAAGCCTGAGACGCCAGCTGGGGCTTCTAACCTTAGAGATGTAAAGGCAGCTGCTCTTGGTCAGAGCCCAAAGCAAGCCTGGGCCAGACATCAACCAACTAGGGCTATGTTCACTCTCCAGCTGCAGGTTGACTGAGCAGTGTCCTGCCTTGTACCTGTCCCTAGTGTTCTGATGGATGTCTCCAACTCACTCTAAGGCACCTTCCTTGCTTTTCCACCTGCCCTTAAGGTCCCCTTGCCTTTCCTCCAGCACCTAAGATCCTTCCCATTGGCTGGATTTATCTTCTAGCTCCTCCCCAGAACTGAAGCCCACAGCCAAAGGCTGGCAGGGCTTCTGGTGATGCCCAGCGCCTCACACAGGTGTCCAAGAGACCAAAACTCATTATTTGACACAGATTTGTTGAGCAACTACTATGTGCCAGGCACTGTGCAAAGGAAGAGAGGAATGTAAGTGCAAATCTGCAGGCTCTACTTGGATATTTTTCCTTCCAAGTAAGTGCAGGAGCCCAGAGAGCTGTCCACCTGCCTGCTCTAGGGCAGCACCTGATGTATAATCTCCCTTATCAATGTAACAAAGGAGACAGAAACACATACTGTAGTAGACAGGGATTAATGCTTTATTAGCGATAACCTACATTCACATCATGCATGTATAAGACATATCCAGAAAGCATATGGTATTTACACGCCAAGGACAGATTAAGGTAACAAATTCTAACAGTGGCTACATTAAGACTATCATTTGTTCCGAATTAAATACATAATACTCTTTACCTCCCCCTTTTCACATGTACAATAAAAACCCAGTCTTCTTTCTTCTATCGAATATAAAACTGCATTGATAAACTGCACTGATTAGCAACAATTACATTTGAAACATTTAAAACCTGAGAAAGAGGCCCAAAGACCTTTGAGCACTAACATGTCTACACTCAAATTCATCTGTGAACGCATGGTAACTGGCCGGTGGTCACTACTTCACATTCTAGGTGGCTTGGATAGAAACTGCCACTGGCTGCTGCCTCTTGGCTGGAACTTATACTTGGCCTGGGCAGAGGGGTTAATTTCTCACCAAACATGCCTCACTGTACACTGCAGAAGATTAGGGGGAATGTTACTTTTTTTTTTTTATTCCTTTTTTGCCTTTAAGAGGAAAAAAATCTTTGGCCCATTTAGGTGGCATTTTTACACTGCAAAATATACATAAATAAGTGTGTATCTGTTCATTAGCAAGTGCCTTGTATCTACTCCCATACTCCACCTGCACTTTTGTTCCACCAGAGCACAGAAGTAAGAAGGGGGCAAAGCCAGTGAGGACAAAGTGGTCAGAAAAATAAATACACATTTAAAAAACGGACACCTAAGCTTGTCACAACAGGCTGGACCCGAGGCCGTGGGAATGTCACTCCATGATCTTTATGTCTACGGTAAAATATGAAGGATGATCAGTGCATAACTGCTTTGTGGTCGATCAGGCGCTTTTGATAAAGGCACTCCTAGCTAAGGATGGGCTGTGTGGACCGAGCCCCATCACCTGGACACTTGGGTTTGTCACCCTGAGGACCCAGCCTATTTCCAGCCACCTCCAGCTCTTCTGGAAACACGAGCAGGTCTTCTCTGACCAGGTGGGATCAGAAGGAAATCCTGTGTCCAGGCCCTGGTCTCCAGGCCCTGGTGAGGCTGACCAGCCCTCCCTCAAGCTCCACTACTATCCCTGTGGCCAGAGTCTTGCTCTCCTCCCTGTTAGCGATGGGACACGTTCACCCTGAGGCACACATAGTAGTTTATTCTTCAGTATGTCTCCAGATCTGTACTATCTGGCCATTGGGTCCTTTGTTCCCCTTTCTGACACAACTGATTTCTTTTGTTGCTTAACAAAAGACAGAAAAGGGTGGCCAAGGAGGGGACCCCAGCATCACCACCCCTAGCAGGGGGACTCCCCACCCCTGTGGGGGAAGGGAGCCACAGCAAACTCTTATTTAGGGTTAGCCACACTCAACGAACTGAGAAGGGAGCGACAACCCCCAGCCCCAGTTTCACCCAGAGATGGCACAAAATAAACATTTCCTATGCCCCTCCCTCACCCCATCCCGAGGGCCTTCCTCTTTAAGGCACTGGGTTTGAAGACATACAGGCTCAGGAACTCTAAGGCTGAGGTCTATGACCTGCTTCAAGCATGGAGCTGCAGTCATAGGCTACCAAACTGAGGACCATCACCCCCAGCGACAAACCCCAACCATGGCGTTTTCAGTTAGTGCATTGTGTGTTAGCTCGAACGGTCATCACTGCCAACGGGAAGAACATTCTTTTTCATGAGACAGAAGTTTACGCTGCTATGACAAGGAAGTACCAGGTACTTGGTCACCTCCAAGGAAGCATGTCATTTACATGTCCAATGCATGTGAAGCCACAACCCCACTAATGCCTTCATTAACTCAGTAACACTCTAATCCCTTAATAAGTACAAGCAGGTGCAAAGCCTCGGGGGTTCTGTGTCCAGGGTCAACCCGGAAGCTGTAGGGATGCACTTCACGCAGTGTGCCTACCGCTCTGGGGAGACAGAAACAACAAGCCCTTTCTGGAAGGAAAACCTCTGACTTTTCTAAGAGCAACTTCCATCCTGAACCACCCCCAGGATTACTATCTAGTCTTCATTTGGTTTGTTTCAGAAGAGTCTGTTTCCCTTCACAGCGGTGCCAGGGGAATTACTTTTTGGAATTCTCTGTGAGCCCAAACAAGGCGATTATGTCGCTCATGGCTTCTCTCAGGTGCTTCCCAAAACGGTGAGAATCCTTTGATTCAAAAACAGAAAGCAAAGCATTAGTAGGCAGACACAGCTGTGTTTCAAGCTGTCACATTTCTAATCTGACTCGGGATTTAATCCAAAGGCCTTTTTGCCAGTTCTCTAAACTCTGGATGAAGGATGGACAAGAAGAGGGTGAGGAGACAGATGATGGGCTGGTGAGGGTCCCTGCCACTTTCCTGGCATCCCTGCATTCCATCAAACACAGCAAGGAAGTGAATCCCGGCATCGGTGGAGACCCTTTCCCTGCACCCCATTTCCTGTATCCTTCTTGATAAATCATCCTGAATAAACTCCTCTTCTTTTAGTGAAAAAGTGAGCTTGGCACTGCTTGCAGGCTATGTACAAGGTGGGAAGGAGAACAGAGAGGAGGACGAAAGGCACCGCACGGGAGGAGGCCACTTGTCCCGTCCATGGGACACCGTGGACCCACCGCTCCATCACAACTGTGTATTTCCTGGCATCTGCACACTATGTTTTGTCCACCTTCCAAAAGTGATAGAGTTTGAAATTCAATTACAGAAGCACATGAAGATTTAAGATTTCAAAGCACTCTTTCTGGCAAAAGAAAGCAGCTGAAGCCAAGTGAAATATATTTCTCTAAAATGAGCATTAGAGAATTTTGAAAATATCCAAACCAGGACTGATGCAGATAACTGAAAATATCTGATAAATTAACTATGTGCTTCCTTCAAAAGTAAAAACACTTTATTGTTAGAAAAATAATTTGTTGCAAACTTACTGTCTCGGGGCTGGAAAACTTGGAAGAAATGTGGAAGTGGATGAAGTGCTCTCCCACGATGATGTATGACACACCATAGCCATCATCAGCAACCTGCAGAACCATACAGTTCACAGAGCTCATTGGACAAGCCCAGCAGGTCTCCCTGTGAACATGGATCACAGACCCTGCCCGCACTTACCGGACCAAAGCCCCCTCCACCAGACACATAATTCGGGTACTTCGAGAAGTCAAAGAGCTCCACCTGCTGCTGCGGGGTCTGGCTTGTAGACAATCGCCAAGGCTCAGATAAAACCTGATGAATTAAACAGTAAATGAAGGAGGGGGCGTGATCGTGCACCCTACAATGCCTGGGCTTGGGAGGCTGAGGCAGCAGGATCACAAATTTGAGTCCAGTCTGGGTATCTTACTGACATAGTGAAATCCTGTCTCAAAATCCTGTCTCTTTCCTCAGAGTAAAGGCCCTGGGTTCAATCTCTAGTACTGCAAAACTGAAAGGAAGAAGGAAGGAAAGAAAGGGAAGGAAGGGAATATTGAAACGGCACTCTTCTCAACTCCTTTGTCCTGAGGACCATACCTTGGGAAGACAAGAAAACACCTGCCTGGCTAAGAGGACACCAGAAGTCTGTTCCCACAGGCCTTGTGGCTTTGGGCGGTACATCTGCAGAAAGCCTGCAGAGCCAGGGAGGGTCCCAGGGTTGGGGTCAAGGTACCACATAGTGTCAGACAGAGAAGGCAACAGATGTGTTTCACTGTGATTCGGAAGGAGGGTGTTGGCATTAGACTTGTACCGGCTCCTGGGAAACAACTGTTAAATTTTCAGGGATCTTTTCCAAGCTGGTTAGTTATTTATTTTCTGTATTTTTAGGGCAGGGTCTACAGTGTGTTCAGGGTCTCACTATTAGATGGGACTCATAGTGATTCTACCATTTTCAGCCTCCCTAGTGCTGGGATTACAAGGCGTGCACCACTACACCCAGTCTCAATCTCAGTCTTAGCCCGCCCCAGGGGTGGGGCCGGCATGGCAGGCCTGGGGATCCCGGGCCCCTGTGCCTGCTTGCAAGCGCTTTAATCCACTGAACTATTTGGCCAGCCTTCCAGGTTGGTTATTAAATACCACCATGTTTAAATATTAAATTATATAAATATACTATGAAATAAACCATATTATAAACAAAACTGATTCAAGTAGGGGCACGGTGGCACATGCCTATAATGCCAAGTTCAAGGTCAGCCTGGGCTACTAGTGAGACCCTATCTCAAAAGGTCAGTAACAGAACTAAATGGCTTGTGTCGCCTCACATGGTCATGGGGGAGCTTTTTAGGAGGGGGCTGAATTTAGTGTGTGATGCTGGAATTGGTTCATAGTGGCCGCTAGGCTCAAGGGCACTGGGATGAAGGGTGTGAGTGCTACCTGTCCTACCTGCTCTAAAATATGAGACAGAAAAACTGTGGCTGTCCCTGCTGCTTTGCTGCCTTCTGCCCGCCGTGAACTGATTTTCCTCCGCAATGCTTCTGCGCCATGAGCCACCCTGCCCTGGAGCCAGGCAATTATGAATTAAAATTTCTATAAACTCTGAGCTGAACAGACCCTTCCTCCTTTAATGTTAGGTGTCTGGAATTCTGTCTCAGCTGTAAGAGAAAAGTAAGACAAAAGCAATAACCAAAGGTAACAGATACCCAGAACTCCCTGTCATCTGAGCTGTGTGCTCGCTCACATGTACGAAGTCCAGACGGGGAATCTGACAGCAAAGCACTGCAAGCCGTGGAAGACGTGCACGACTACGGCTGCAGCTCAGATCTTCCCCCTTTTAGGGGAGCACCACCCCCAGGCCTACTCTCTCTGTGCCTGTTCTGATTTGCAAAGCCGTGTGCTAAGCCACTGGGCTCTGCCCCGAAAGACAGCTGACCTCTTTTAGGAAAGGGGACTCCACAGCGAGGTACTTGGACACCACATAGAGGCAGAAGAGATGGCGGTCGATGCCGGCGCCGGTCATGGCCAGGCGGTACAGGTGCTGATGCTTCTCACTTGCTGTCTTGAACAACTTGAGCTTCTGCTCAACCTAAGAGCCAAAGGTCAGGAAGGACATGTGTTAGACATTTCAGGCTGTGCGGTACGGATTCATGTTTCCAAGGAAGGGTGACAGTCACTTTCCCTCTAGTACCTTGACAGAACACTGCCAACGGGGCCCCCAAAGGTGTGCCAGGGCGGGTGGCAGGCAAGGCATCCTGCCAGGGGCCACCACCCAGTCACCCCGTCTTGATTGCTGCCTTCAGAGGGCTGCAGGGGGTGTCTGTCGGCAAAGCATTTTCAGGGTACCCTGTGTCACCTCATCTGCAATGCTGAGGTTACCACTAAACAGGCAGGATGTGTATCCTCCACGTCAGAATGGAGGCCCTGTCCCTCAGGTCACCTTGGATCTGGCTAGCAATTATGCTAAAATGGTGCTCCTGAGCTCAGGCCTCTGGAGGGGACCCTAAAAGGTTCTTCTGGGTTCTGCAATGGAGGACATAGTGTGCTCTATGTGGAGGTCCAGGAAAGCTATGACTGCCCCGCAAGCCCTGGCCTTCCAGGTTCCTCCCGAAGGCTTCCAACAGTGGCTGAGCAGAACTACCCGTCTAATCCCAGTTGGCTTCTCTCCTCAGCAATGAGGTCTCCCCACAACGAAGATTGGCAGGCAGCCGGAAAGCCCTAGGCCTCTCTACAGAGAGTACCTGTGTTGCAGGGTGGGACCACCATGCACAGACCTGACTCCAGCCACCTGCCCGTCAGGGACCCAGCAGGTGGCAGAATTCAGTCTGTTCCTTTATCTATGACGGTGAACGGATTATACTTCCCAGGGCTCCTGCTGGGATTGTGAAAGAAACCCCAGCCCCAGGCCTGCAAACAGGGGCCATGCATGCAAGGCTCCCATTTGACAGCCGCCACATTCGCACCCTGGCAGCAGTGACTCTTCCATCCCTCTGCTTCGTCCACTCTAATGGAAGGACTCCTTAAGAGGCATTATCTGATTTCCATAAGCGCCGTGCATAAAAGAATGTCTGCACTGTCACCACACTTGGCTCTTAACACTTTCTGTTCCTTTGCAAGAGGGGAGGAGCAGCTGGGGCAGGTGGGACTCGTATGACACAGGGCTTCCCAAGGAGAACATGCTCGGCCGTGTCCTTGGTTGAGGGCACCTACCGTCTGGGTGGGGTCCATCATAGCTAGCACGAAGTTACAGGACTCCGTGGTGCAGGAGCGTACAGTCTCAGTCCTCCCCTCTCGGAAGAGTCGGGTCATGGAGGCCTCGTACGTGAGGCAGAACTTGCCCATGTCCTGGGAAACACAACACATCTCAGCAGCAGGCAGGGCGCAGTGAGGGGAACACGAGCACGTGGCACGGTGGCTGAGTCTGCAAGGAGACAGCCTCTCTGTGTGGTCAGCTGGTGACAACAGAGGTGTCACTGGCTTCAGGAAGGGCCAGGAGGAGATGGGGTCAGTACGTGAGTGACCCGCATTTCTGTTTCATTTCAAGATGCAGCTGACAGCAGGACAGAGGGCCACACATTGAGCTCCTTCTGTGCTGACAGCCAGAAAGAGAAGGGGACGTAAGGTACCACATGGGCCACGAGAAGGGAGGGACAGAATGGGAAAGATGTCCTTCAGTGGGACAACCTGACACAGGGAGCAGCCATGGGCTGGTGGGTACACCCAGAAGGCCCCCTAGGTGAAAGAGAACAGTGACCTGCTGGGAACTGGGACAGGCGGGTGCTGCCTACCAGGGCGGTTGAAGCAGCGGGAGACACGTGCTGCACTCAGTGCTCACTAATCTAAGATGTTTTTCTGTGGCTGTGCCACGGAGCTGGGCCACGGAGCCCAGCATTCTCTGTGGCCGAGGCATCGCCTCCTGCTGGAGTCCCAGTGCGGCACAACTGCAAAGTTCTCTCACCAGTCCTAAGTTCAGGTTTATCAATACTAAGATCCACACCTCAACGCCATTCTGTTATAGTGAGTGCATTCGTCGCCTGCAATTACTGTGCTCTATCTAACTGTGCTGGTGTATGCACTGCAGCGAGCACGTGATTTAGAAACAGTACGCGCTGGGACTGTACTACTATTTCATTGCAGGGCTGGAGCACAGACCTCACACGTGCCAGGAAAGGGCCCGCCACTGAGCCATGTGCCCAGCCCCGAGCTTGACTGCCATGATCTTATCAAGCACTGTGTGGTCATCAGTGCTGATCTTCTATCACTGGATGTTCCTTTTACTTTCCTGTGTTTGTTCATTATCTTTACTAGTACAACTCAAGCCCCCAGGCTCTGAGTGTGGATCTGCCCCCAGCTTGTTTCCTGCTGTGCAGTGTCACTCTACCAAGTCACCTGACCTCTCTTGCCTAGAGTCCCTCACCTGTAAACTGGGAGAACAAAAGTGCCCCCTGCTGAGAGACCACAAGGCATGAAAAGTGCGGAGCACTCAGACCCCAGCCAGACTCAGTAGTGGCACCGCTGTCCCTTTACAGTGTAAGACTCCAGTTAAAAACAGGACACTGAGGGCCAGGGACATAGAGCTCAGTGGTATAGCACCTGCCTGCCAAGTGCAAGATCCCGAGTTTGAATCCTGGTAGCCCCTCCCTCCAAAACAGGGCACTGTTGGGCTGGGCTATAGCTTAGTGGAGCACACCTGCCTGGCAAGCATGAGGCCCTGGGTTTGATTCCTAGTAGCAAAAAAAAAAAAAACAAAAACAAAACAAAAAAACCACCCCCAAAAGCCCCTTAAGAAAACAAAACAATGGCACTGTTGACCATGGTGGCATATGCCTACAATCCCAGCACTTGAGAAGCTAAGGCAGGAGGATTGCCAATGAGCTTGAGGCCAGCCTGGGCTATACAGTGAATCCAAGCCCAGCCTGAGATCCTGTCTCAAAAACCCCAAAATATAAAACAAAAACAGATACACAGCTGAGTGTGGTGACACACACCTGTAATCCCAGCACTCTGGGATGCTGGTACAGGAGGACAGCAAGTCTGGGCCCAGCCTGGACAACTTAGCAAGACTCTGTCTCAAATAAAAAGTACAATGGGCTGAGGATGCAGGTCAGTGCAAAGGCCTTGGGTTCAATCCCCAGTACTGGAGGGGTGGAAAAGCACAGCTTGAGCTAAGGCCACAACTCAGTACCCTCCTGCTGTTGAGGGCCCCTCTGCCAAAGGACAAGAAGCCCCGTCCACACTGCCACAGAGGCCACTTTTGCAACAGGGCCACTTTGTGCAAGCCAACACGTGAGCCGGTGCTATGAGGAGGGAGGTGGAAATGCCACACAGCCTGTGTATAAGCAGGGACCCCGCCGAGTCCCGACAGAACCCTAGCCCTTGCCTCCTACCTTGTAGTGAGCCAGCTGCAGGGCAAGCTGGATGAATGCATCTGGGCTGGTCCGGCACTTCTTGATGAGCCCTTTCCCAAAAGTATGGAATGGGAAGGAATGCATGTCCACATTGTTCGCCAGAAGGTTTGCGGAGCTCAGGGAGGTCGCTATCACCTCCCGGCACTGGGGAGAGGAGGGCAAGAAAGGTGCTCCTCAGCGAGAGGAAATGTGAACCAGGAGAAAGCCTCACCGAGGGGCCCCTCCCCCACCGCAGAGCAGCATGGGGCCCAAGCAGCAGGAATACAGGCGCCCTGGCTCCCAGCGAGGCCCCAAAGAGCACTTAAAACAATCAAGTTTGTTCCACAAAGTCCACTGTTGCTATAAAGAACAAGCTTTAGAAAGTAAAAGGACAGCCATATCGTGGAATACTATTTAAAACTCAAAAAGAAAACCTCCATGGTCAAACCATGAAGACACACAGGAAGCTGAAATGCACACCACTGAATGAAAGGAGCTGCCTATGGACCCCTACTCTGCCACTTCTGGGGAAGGGGAGACCAGTGGTAAGCAGGGGTAAGACAGGGAGGGGGTGGCTACAGAGGATGTGCCGGGCAGGGACACTACTCTGGACACTGCTGGTGGCAGATGCAGCCAATCATTACATAGGCTGTGCCCCACCAGGAGTGGCCCTGATGTAAGCCACCAACTCGGTGAAGCCTTGCTGGCTGTCATATGCGCCACTCTGGTGGGGGATGCTGGCAGTGGGGGAGGGCACAGGAGCCATGAAGGGAAGAAGCATGCGGGAAATCTCTGCACTTTCCTCAATTCCACCGTGAGACCGACTGCTCCAAAAAGTCAAGTCTCTTTGGAAATATGTTTGTAATGCACAGAGACTGCCCTGGTGGACTCCTAGGACCATGAGCTGAGTACACATTGCCAGAGGTCACCCTGTCTCTGGCCCCACACTGGCCCTGGGGGGCTATGGCACACCATGACTACATGAAGATGGCGTCTGAGGCCCAGGGCTTCCTGCCCGATCAGATGAGCCGGGCCTGGTATTTCCTTCCCTCCAGGGCTTCTGCTGAGTGGACTTGGCCCGAGAATTGAGATTGTAAGTCAGCCGTTTAAAGTACTATGACCCTGTGAGATTTGGGTTTTTACTCTTTGCTGTGAAGAGTTTACAGATGTTCAGCTAGATCCAGGCTGGAAGATCGCTGCCTTGGCCAAAAGCTTTAAATGCAGGGAGTATCTACAGGGGTGCCCACAGCAGCCCCGAGGAAACAGCTGTCAGACCTACAGGCCTCAGTGGAGCTTGGGAATACTCAGAAGTGCTGCTGGAAGATCTGGTGGTGAGAGCGCAAACTCGAGTCACTGCTGGGGCTGTGGAGCTTCTGGACGGTGACTGGACCATGGGTTACAGCTCAATGTTCGGTTAGAAGGAGGGGCGTGGTCAGAAGAGGCATGGGGCCAGGGACGGCCTGGAAGGTGTATGGTATTTCCTCCCCACTCCTCCCTTTTCTCTGTTTTCTGCTGCCATGACATGAACAGTTCTGTCAGGCCCTTCCTGCCTTGAGCCAGCCAACCAATGCTTGAATTGTCTAAAAAACAGCTCGTCCAAATAAACCCTCCTCTAAGTCAACTACTGGGTGTCCAGCACTGATCTCAGGAAGAAGAAAGTGACCGAGACAGTGACGTTCATTGGGTCACTGGGACTTACTGCTTCTGGGATGTCCCACTGTAGCCTGGTGGGGCAGGGGATGTTGGGGTTGGTGTTCCCTTTACAATGTCCGTCCTCCTCATAGCCCAGCTGAAACCAGTCTGTGGCCATAATCTCCTGTGAAATACAAGAAGACAAAAAGTGAACGGAAAGCCAATCACAGCTTCTCCCATTGCACCTTCCACACAGAATATCTCAGGGCTGAACATGGGAGTTTCCACATGCCAGGCAAGAACACACTGTGCATGGACCACAAGGCTACGCCCCACTGCAGGCGCCAGGTGCAATCCCTTTGAGTGACCCATGCCGCTGACCAACTGCTACCAACGGGTTTCACTCCCTCCTAGAATTTGATTAATTTCCTAAAGCATCTCATAGAACTCTGTAAGCACTGGCCTAGATTTCTGCTTTATTATGAACTTTGTCCCAAAGGATAGAGAGGCACAGGGAAAGTGCTATCCCCAGGTGTCCCACACTCCAGCTACCTCCCTGGATTTGGGGGTCTGGAGCGCCCCAAACCCTGTCCTTAGTAATACTGGAGGCGTTACTATGTTACTGGCCACTAGTGACCAGCCCAACCTCTGGCCCCTTGGCCTTCCCTGGAGGTGGAGGTCGGGACTGACACAACGACCTAGTCCTGCCTTGGACTTTCCTGTCGCCAGGCCCACTCTGAAGCCACATGAGGGGGGCTCCTGGGCCAGCCAATGATGTGTGCCCAAAAGACATTATCACTTGGAGGATTCTGGGGGTTTTAGTGGGTGTGCCGGGAAACAAGAACAAAGACCAAATGTATGAGATTCCAGAGACTATGACCAGTAGTGTCACATGAGACGTGTGACTTCTGAGGATGACAAAGCCTTGTTTTTTACAGAGCTACCTCAGGACCAGACCACCGCCACCTGCGTACTGCGTGCTTATCCTATGCTTGGTATGGGGCACCCTCAGACGCCCAGGGAGTGCACCTTTTCCACCGTGGAGGTGAGAAAGGAGGCAGCCGGGGCCACGCTGTGGGTCAGGAGCAGAGCCAGGCTGTGCTCGGATGCCACGCCACGGCGCTCAGAGCCTATTTCTAGGCCTGGGCTCTAGATGCCACCATCCCTGGACTGCTCATGTGCAGCCTGGGGTAGCAATCACCAACCCGTATGTGTATGTGAGAAGACTGGGCTTCAGTGAGGCGATGCACTCATCCGAGCCCACGCCCTCCTGGGACGCAATCGGCGTCTGCTATGGTCGGCACAGCCGCGTAAGGCACAGCAGGCAGGGACCGTGTAATGCAAATGGCGTTTTCTAACAACACACACAGGGATTTCTGCTCTTCCTCAAGGAATGAAATAGCTACACAATCAAGCAATTACACCTCTACGTGTACATGCCACAGAGTGAAGTGCACCAACACACAAGCTGGCACGTGAATGTCCAGGAAGTGCCAACAACCCAACCCAAGACCCAAACTGATGAGCACAAACAAAAACGGGCTCTGGCCACACAATGGCAAGTTCTACAGCTGTGGAAGGATAAAGCCCTGGTGCTTGCTATTCCCTGCATGGACCTTGACATCACTGACTGAGGGAAAGCCAGACACAAGGGCCACACATTTCCTGATTCCATCTCTGTGAAACATCTAGAACTTCCACTGAGCCAGAAGGCAGGTCAGCAGCTACCAGTAGGCTGGGGAGAGAAGAAAGGAGCTTTTGGGGGCAGGGTTATAAAATGTCCAATGGTAATTGTGGCACAACCCCCTGGTGAACATTCCAGGAAGCATGGACCTCTGGGAAACTTAACAGGGTGGATGTTGCGATGTGTGTAGCGTGCCTCCAATGAAGCACCATGAAAGAGGACTCCTTGTGCTCAGGGTCCCCATCTAAATGAGGCAGGCAGACAGCTCCAGCTTGGGGCTGACATTGTCAGGTGGAAGGAGAGCCACTTGGGCTTGGCCTGCAGCTCCCAGTGAGCAGGGGCCAGCTCGCTCAGCCAGAGCTGCGTGGAGTCTGGACTCCCGGATCCAGCACACCTGACAGGGGAAACACATGGGAGCCCCTGGACCCCAACATGGGTTCCAACATGCCTAAACAGGGGAAAAACACAGGGCTCCTGGACCAACACAAACTACACCATGAAACAATGGAGTTTGCAGACCCAACACAGCTAAAGATGGGAAATACACTTGGGTTCTTGGACCTCAACATGGAAACACACTGGGACTAGCAGATCTCAACGTGAACAAACACAGGAAACAAGTCAAGGAGCCAGGTGCAGTGGTGCATACCTGTAACCCCTGCAACTTGGGGGACAGCTGTGAGTTCCTGGCCAGCTGGAGCTACATAGTGACACTTTGTCTCAAAACAAAAACAACATGATGAAGGAATCACATCAAGGGCCAGCAGGCCGCCACCTCAATTGGACCTGCTGCTAGCTGGCATCCCCTCCTCTACCAGTCCTATTTCAATATGGTACAAGACCCAGGAAGGGGACCAGGTCAGCCCCCTGACACGCACAGGTCCTGGGCTCCACCTAATGTCTCTGGAGTGCCAGGCCCTCTGCTAACACGTAAGCACCACTGCTAATCAGTCACCTTCATCTAAGAATAAATCCCTTTATCCTTATGTTATTCAGAGTACTTTGAAAAAAATCAGCCTGACCCTATACAGAACCCTAGATCTCTCTTTGATAAATATACTTGGCCTGGGACTCAGAGTCCCTCTTTTACCAACAGCTCTCTGACACGTGTTATTCAGAATATCCTCAGAAGAGTGTGTGACCATCTTGTGCCTGCACCTGCTGCTGTGTCCAGATGAATAAGCATGACCTTAAGCCCAGGGATGAAATGCTTTCTTGGTCAGCCTCAGTCGTGGCCGGGAGCCCTGGCTGCTTTGTATCATCTGTTAGTGGCTGGGGAGCACACGAAGGTCTTAAAGCCTAGACAGCTTTATGCTTTCCTTTTTACCCTTTTCCCTTGTAGAAAACCTTCCTCTTCCAAAAGAGCAGCTACGGGGGTTTCACCAGGACCCAAACCAGAGGCAAGACAGTCAAGAAGGTGGTCGGTGAGACAGAAGGCCCTCCCCTGGTCTTGAGAGGGCCAGACCCAGAGCAGATGGGACCAGCTGAGACCCACAGGAAGACCCTTCCCTCCAAGCAGAGGATGACTAGTTCGAGGCCCCGAGGGATACGGCACTTGTTCCTAAGACTGTAACGCTCCACAGAAAAATGGACACAATATTGTAAAAAGAAGCCCCAAGCTGGGTGTGGTGCTGTACACCTGTAACCCCAGCCCTTGGGAGGCTGAGGCAGGAGGACTGTGGGAATTCAAGGCCAGCCTGGGCTGTATAATGAATTCAAGGTCAGACTGAACTGCACAGTGAAACCCTGTCTGAAAAACAAAAAAGAAAAACAAAACGGAGATAGAAAGCCTTCATAGGTATCTGGAGAAGAAAAAGAATGAGATACAGGTTGAGTATCCCTAATCTGAAAACCCAAAATACAAAATGCTCCAAAATCTGAAATTTTCAGAGCATCATGTTTTTTGTTTGTTTTCGGTACTGGGGACTAAACTCAGGACCTTGTGCTACTGAGCTATCTCCCCGGCCCATCATGTTGGTATTTAATGAGACAAATTTCTAAGCACTTCAGAGTTCAAAAATGATGCTCAACCAGTGAAGTGTATACAGCATTCCCATAACCGAGCCTACCCTCAAACATTTTAGATAAAGGACTGTCATCCTACTGTGCCTCCCAATTCCTGTACAAGTTCACTGTGGGAATTTCAGACACACAGCTGGCTCTGCACGCTGGGACTCTGCAGAGGGTGAGAGGCTCCTGTCCCAGCCCCCAGCTCGGACTCCCACCCAGTCTCTGAAAAGGTCATCTTGTTGCTTTCCAACTAGCCACCAGGTCTCACTGAAACAAGGGAGCATCGGCTTTCAGCGCTGAGTCCACTGCTATTCATTCCGGACTTTGGCTGTTTCCTTGAATAAGAAGCTGGCACCGAGTTAAGGAAGCAAAACCTTCATTCGGTTTTTCTTGCCAAACACGAAATAGTTCAAACAGTTCAGAGAGAAGGCAAATTAAAAAACAGTGGCAGAAGTCAATCCACAACACATTTTCTCTTTTTTTTTGCAGTGCTGGGGATTGAACTTGAGATCTCTACTACTGGGCTACATCCATCTCTCAGCCCTACATTTTTAAATGCCGAATTGGGGAAAGGGTAATAAGTGTTTGACCCAGGCCAGGTGGTGCACACCTGTAATCCTAACTCCTTCTGAGGCTCAGGCAGGAGGATCAAAGCTGAGGTCAACATGGGCAACTTGGTGAGACCTGTCTCAAAATAAAATTAAAAACTGGGTTGGGTGCTTAGGCAAGCACAGGAACTGGGGTTCAAGCTGAGCCAGCCACTGAGACTGGGCGTGGTGGTGTGCGTATGTAATCCCAGCGCTGGGGAGGCTGAAAACAGGAGGATCAGTATGAGTCCGAGCTATGCAGTGAGACCCTGTACCAACTACAGTACAAAAAAAAAAAAAAAATTGGACTCAGGGTATAGCTCAGTGGTAGAACACTTGCCCAGCATGTGTGGGATCCTGTGTCCAATCCCTTTTACTACAAAGAAAAAAAAAAGATAACAGAGTTTTCATGTATTTTTAAGTGACTTGTTAAAGAATTAAAACGATGTGCTCAGTAAAAGACATACTACCAGGATTTTAACAAGCTTGCTTCTATTTTGTCCAAAACCAGGTAGACATAAAAAAAACTTAGGAAATCCAGCAATAGGCGATTATTTCAGAATAAACTGTGTTCACTTCTGCCTTACAGGTGCTTCACAAGAGCTCCCAGCCACGTGGTGATGGTGGCCTAGGAAAGGGGGCGGCAGGGCATGTGCTGCTCCTTCAGGCTCCTGAGGGACAGGAAACGAGCCCGCCCTTGGTGTGTTCCTTAGTGAGGTAACTATATACACAGCAGCACGTGTGTTAGGAGGTCGCACTCGAGGATCCACACCAAGGAAGTCAGCCTGGGGTCAGACTCTGAAAGCTGTTTCTGCCCCCAGCGACAGCAGGACACTCACCTCCCAAAGGTGGGCCACGATGGGCGCGTCCGCCCAGGAGTGCTCTGCGTTCATGCCTATCTTGCCATTCTTGAAGACAATATACGTGAGGGACTTGTCAAACCACCTGCAACAAACAAATGGGACTGATGATGGAGCATCAGGAACGGCCCAGGCCCTAAGCAATCTGGTTCCCTCTGGAAGGGCCCAGGGCTTTGCCACCCACCCCTCTGACAACTGGCCAAAAACTGGACACCGAGTCATTCTTTCCTTTCTGTGCCAGACAGGAAGAGGAACACGAATGCTCCGGGAAGCAGAGCAGGACAGACCACTGGCGCACACGGTGGCTGGGAAGAATGGAGGTTGTCCCTGCCTGTACACCTGTCCTAGCAGCTCCAGGTGGTCATGGTCCCCAGCCTGCAGGGCAGGGGGCCCTCACCTTACAGGGAGCAAAGGGAGGCCCCCAGCAGGCACCAGCCCTGTGACCAAGAGCAAGGCGGAAGCTGACTCCCAGGCCTAACCCCACACCCACCCTGTCTGCCACCTTCTGCCTTGGACCAGGTACCCGGAGGCCATTACATCTCAGGCTCTCCAGGGAGAGATGATCAGGCACAGCATAGGAAGAATCTCAGGGACTTGGCTCAGGTTGTGAGTGACAGTTTGGATGGAGGGAAACGAAGTGAAAAGTTATTTCCATGCTAAGCTTGTTCTTCTACAAAGACACTTGGGGGTCGGCATCCGCCACACAGCCAAGAAACCCCCACCTTTGGGAAGGGTGGTACCTGTCGTAACACTGGCCGTGCAGGAGGGACTTGGCATAGCTGTCCATGGACACCTCCGGGTCTTCCTTTCTGTATCCTTGTTCAGTTTCATCTAGTGTCACGAAGAACGCTGCTTTTTCCACAGCATCTAGAGATTGCTTGTTTTTCCCACGTGCGAAGTAGGCCTTGCGACATTTGGCCCAGGGTATTCTGTGGTAATGATCAGACACAGTTAAACACAGTGGGACTTGCACCAGCTTTGTAAGGGCTCATGGCCCATTTCTGTAATAACACAATATAACCTTTATGAATTTTCAGGAATTAATTTTTCTTTGGTACTAGGGATCAAACCCAGGGCTTCAGGCATGCTGGGCATGTGTTCTATCGCTGAGCTCCACCCCCAGCCATTTTAATTTTGAGACAGGGTCTCACTAAGTTGCCCAGGCTGGCTTCAAACTTGCCATCCTCCTGCTTCAGCCTTCCCAGTAGTTGAGAGTGCATCACTGTGCCTGGCATGAAATTCCTGAAGGAAAACAAGTTGTGATTCATCTGTTTGCCTGTGGCACTGCCTTCAATCGGGCTTCATCGTCCGTCCACCCTGCTGTTCCCAGTGCAGGAGACGCAGCACAGCATTATTTTCATTCAATAAACACTGATTGAACTGCAGCCAGAATGTAGGCCGGCCCTGTGGGCATGGCTGCTCAAGAGTGACCCAGCCAAGCGCCCCAGTAGGGAAGGTGCACACCCTGCTAGCCCTTCTGGGAGGGCTCTGGGAGGCAGCCTAAGCCAGGTCTGGCAGCAGAAAGCGCACAGGACACTGCCCTCAAGCCCACATCTGCTCAGTGCCTTCACCTTGTGCCAACGCTGCTGCCTTCATCTCTCTACCCTACGCCCATCTTTCAAGTGAGGACACTGAGGCACAGGGAGATTAGGTCACAGCTATGCTGAGGCAAGGATGGACTCAGCCCTGGGCCACCTGGCCCCCAAATTCAGGGTACGCGAATGACATGACAGCTCAGGACAAGGTCCTCCTTCCTCGCCACATACTGGGGCATGCGAGTTCCACTTTCACCGCCATCTGCTGTGGTCCCACCCTCCAGCCCACCTGCCCCTGCGCACTCTTTCCCATGAGCACCCCTGGCCCAGCCTCCAGTCACCACTGCTTCTCTGGCTCAGCTCACCCATGGTGCGAACAAGTCCGTACACTCCAATTTCAAACACAGTACCAGCCAGGAGGACAAAGGTGAGAGCCGCAAGGGCTGACACAGATGCGGCCCTCTGCTGAAGGGCTGAGGGAACGCTGGCTCTGAGGGAACATTCAGAGAGGAGCTGGGAGGCCTTCAGGACCTATAGACTATGTGGCTTACGGTAAGGGGATCCAGTCCCTCAGCATGCCCTCTCCTGAGCCTCCTGTCCCTAAGGCCTTCAGACAAGCACACTGGAAATAAGCCAGGTATAATGGCACGCACCTGTCATGTCAGCACGCAGGAGGCTGAGGCAGGTGGATTGTGGTGAGTTTAAGGCCAGCCTGAACTATATAGTGACTTCCTGTCTCAAAAAAAAAAAAAAAAAGAAGAAAAAAGAAAAGCCAGGCTTGCTGGCTCATGCCTGTAATCCCAGCACTTGGGAGGCTGAGGACTGTTTGAGTTCAAAATCAGCCTGAGCTCAAGGCCAACCTGAACAGCAGAGTGAGACCCTGTCTCAAAAAGAAAAAAAAAAAAAAAAGGCAAGGACTACCCCCACAAGACACACTTCCTGATGTTGCACGGTCCTACACAGTGATGCAGAGCAACCCCAACTTTTTCTAACATAGCTTCTTTACTCCCTACCCCCACAGTCCTCTTCCTGGTCCCCACTGCTTCAAATGACACAGTCTCCTGCTTTCCTGGACTTGCTCTTTCTCCAAGCACAGAGAGCCTCTCTGTTCATAGATCTACTTGTGTCCCTCATGCCAGAACTAGTTCATATAATGACAGCTGGCAGAGGCAAAGCCAAAGGCATCTGGCACTGGTCTTAGCTCCTTAGCCTGGGGCTTCCCTGGCACACTGGGGACACCCACTGTCCTCTGGCCCATTGCCACCATCTATAAGACACAGCCCACTGGTGGCCCCAATACGCCTGCCGGTCCTTGCAGAGGTCACCTGGCTTCCATCTAACTCAGCAGCTCTACTGGGGACCAGGCTGCCCCAGCAACACTGGAGTGTCTGAACATGCCCACGGCTATCACATCAAGGGGGCCATGGGCATCCAGCAGGGACAGGGCAGGGATGCTGCTCAGCAGCCCACACCACACAGCTCAACGAAGACCCATCCAGGCCCAGTGTACATAGGGCCTAGGCCAGGTACCCTGCGGGCCTTGTACTGGCTATGCCTGAAGTACGCAGAAGCCTCATTCCATAAAGCAGGGAAACAAACGGAGCCCTTCGGTCTGATGACACACAATTCTGACAGTTCCTAGCTTCTAACTCCCATAGTTCACATTATCTCCAAATGCCTAGGCATTAAGTGTATCTTTTGTTAAAATATTCTGGCCGCCAGTCCTTAGTTGAAGCAGCTTCAGGATGGCTCGAAGGCAGTAACAGTGAAAGGCAGTCCTTCCTTGCAGCCTCCAAAAGCCAAGATCCCTTAACTTTCTCCAGTCCCTAAGGCTGGACACAGATTTTTTTTACCTTCCTTTAAAAGCATTTTACTTTCACTTTGTTAATAGATCTTTAACCTGAAAGTCTGGAACTTTTCTACCCAAATTGTGTCAGATACTCTAATTCTCTCTATCATTCTGTCTTGGAGATGGAATTTTCCTGCGCTACCTTGTCTTATGGGCATCCTGCCCCACAGCCAGGAGGAAGGCCCACTGGCCTGCCAGGACAGGAAGAACCTAAACAGAGAGGTTCCTGCATCTGCTAGAATCAGAGCAGACCCTTTCTGTCCAATCCCATTTCTACATTCATCCATACTTTAGTCATGCCCATGCAAGTGTAAAACCCCCAAAGAGGCTAGGCATGGGGGCACACACCGGTCATTCTGGCACTCAAGAGGTTGAGTCAAGAGGATCACTGATGTGTTAGCTATTGAAACTGTCCTAGCGATTTGATTTGAAACTGTCTCATTGCTATTTGTTTATCAATAAAATTATGGAAAAAAAAAGAATGGAGGGAAAATACAAGACGGAAAAGATTATTTACCATTTTATAATTTTCATGTGGTATTTTCAAGAAATGTATTTTACAATAAATTTTATTCAATTTTCAGAACCTTAAAAAAAAAAAAGAGGATCACTGAGTTCGAGGCCAGCCTGCAATACACAGTGAGACTCTACCAAAAAAAAAAAAAAAAAACCAAAAGGACAGGGCCATGTGCCAGGAGGATGTGCCACATCCTAACCCCACTGAAGAGTTACGGTCCTGTACTTGGGAGCCTTGCAGAGCTCACCTGCGTTATCACTTCACCTAACTATTTAGTATCTTTATAGGTAAACCCAGGGCCTTTGCACTGAGCTATGTTCCCAGTCCTTTCTTTTATTTGGAGACAGGGTCTTACAAAATTGCTGGGCTTGAACTTTCTATCCTCCTGCCTCAGCTTCCCAGACTCTGGATTATAGGAGTATACCATCACATTCAGTTCCCTCTAACAAATTAATGGAGACTACAAAGGGGCATCATGGAAATGTGTAGCCAATTGTGAGAAGTTCTTGAGGCACTCCTGAAACTGAAGGAGGTAGTGGGACTCAGCCCGCCATCCATAGGCACTGATGTTACCTCCAGAACTGACCAAGGGGCACCCTAGCTGGGTCCCCCTGCAGGGCTGTTCGCTGGCTGGTGTGGAGAAACACTGCCTCCATACCTTTGGGGACCATGGAAAAGACCTGTGTTGTGAGCAGCAGGCCAAACTAGCACATTTCCACTTGCTGTGTCTCTCCACACATGCATCTGCCTGCGTTGTGCGGAGGTGACCGTGTGACCTCACCAAATCCAGCTGTTCTTGGGATGGGCTCTGCTACCACAGAACACAGAGCACAGTGGCTGGGACCACTCGGGTACTGCCTCAGGCACCCACAGGGACAGGCTGCAGGGCTGGAAGAGCACTATGATGCAAGCCCCATGTCTATCCACACAAAGGACAGTGCTGCCAGAGGGCCACATACCTGTCTCCGGCAGTGAGAGCGGCCAGGGTGGCCTCCCCTGGCTGAGGCTCCGAGGGGTCATCCAGGATCCGCTGCATCTGCTGCTCCAGCTCTCGGGGCTTCAGCAGGCGCCCATTGTGGTAGAGCCAGACCTTGAAGTAGCGCCCCCTATGGAATACGACAATGTGCCGGCTGTCCTTGAGGTGCTGGATGGTGTCTGAGGTGGACGTGCAGTGGGGACAAAATCCAGAAGAACAAGGTCAGATGAGGGGACTGTACCCCAACTCCAAGTGACAATTCCCCACCCTATGTTATTCCACTCAGTTTAATGAGCCCAGGTTTCTTAAAGCATGAAATGGAGAAGAGTCTAGAACCCTGTCTTCTCCAGGAGTCCAACAGGCCTGGAGTCAGACACGCCTAGCTAGCAAGCACACCTGGCCACTCACTGGGTCAGTGACTGCTCCATTCACTACCCTCTCTGAACCTTAATTTTCTCATAGGTAAGATGAAGCCAGGGTTGAGGAACAAGGATTTCTAGTTTGAGCCAAGCGTGGGCAACTTAGCAAAACTCTCTCAAAGTAAACAAACAAACAAAACTGTAAAAAAGGTTGAGGTTGTAGCTTAATACTCCCTGGTTCAAACTCCAAATAAATAGGTAGGTAGGTAAGGAGACAGACAGACAGACAGACAGGCCAAATGCTACAAGGGGATAAAAAGCATGTGACAGTAGTCCAGCTTGACCCTGGGAATGAGACAGTCCTACCACCACCATAAAGGAAGGGAAATTTAAGAATCCAGGTGGATAAAGCCTAGCTATACCTCCTCCACACTTGATCTCATTTACAAACTGTCCTAGCACTCCAGGGTGGAGGAGAACCTCCCTAACCTGCTGAAGGCTCCTACCAGGAACATGGAGCAGATGCACATTTGAAGTTTTCGCCTGAAACCAGAGATGACAAAGGACCATCTGGTGTGGTCCCTTATCCCAAGGCCCTGGAAGGGGGCAGAGAACAAATGAAACAAACAAACAAAAAAACCACAAGAAAAAGAACCAAAGATAAAGGAGTTGGAAGGAAAACAGCAGAGCTGGCATGTGCCCCTATGATTAGTCACGGCACATCCAAGAGTATACGTAAATGAAAACTCCATGGTGAAAAGTTGTACACCCAGCACCATGGCAGAGCTGTGCACATGGTATACCACACTCGTGGCTGAAGGCATAACTTTCAGCACCCAAAAAGGTGCCCTTATTTGGAGATAGGTTTTTAAAGGGGTCATTCAGGTTAAATGAAGTCACTGAAGTATCACTGGCATCCTGACAGTGTGGGGTGAGGACATAACACATAAGGATGGCCACGTGAGGACACGGAGGGCAGTGAGAAGACATCATGTGCAGGCCAAACACAGAGCCCTCAGCAGGGACCACCTGTGACACCTGAATCTCAGACTTGCAGCCTCCAGGACCTTGAGAAAAATTTCTGTTGTTTCAGCTGGGCTACTTGTTACGCAGCACAGTCAGAAAGTGACAACTTGAAAATGTACTTGAATAACACAACAGTCAGGCCCTCAGAGTGATTCTAGCAGATAACGTGCAAGATCCTTCTGGAACATTTGATTCTACTGAAATCATTAAGACAGACAGACAAGGATCCGATCAGCAGAGATGGGCTGCTGGGTTTAACCCTGAGAGAACAGCGATTCCATTCTCCCAGTCTCTGTACTTCCAAGAGGAATCTGATACACCTGCCAGCTGATCCTACAGCACATGCTGAAGTGCAGAGCGCTAAGATAGGTCTTAGAAGAGAGGCTTCCCTAGGCGAATACCACGACTTATTACAGAATTTAAATAGTTTGTATGGTGACTAAGTGGAACCTGTGAACACCACTTGAGAGGAACAAACTGTTGCTGTTTTCCTGAGGCCAGACAGGGCCATCCACGCACAAAACATGATGCCCTATCTGTAACTCACACTCAATGTAAAAATCAATCCTAGGCAGACTGAAGATCTGTAAATGAAGAAAAAGTTAAATGCTGTTAAAGAGAAAAGAATTTCTCAAACAAGACATAGAAGCAACTGATGCACTGGGTGTCACCCCCAAGTTTTGGTATTAATGCCCATTACTATTAAAGACTGAGACTGGGGGCACCAGGAGAACTAAGACCTCGGGGGCACTGGGCCCACATGCCCGAGGAGCTGCTGGAGGCTGAGCATCTAGGATACACAGGGACTGTCCACGAAGTACTGAGAGAAAGAAGCATCACCCACTTTTTGAAAGGGCACAAGATAGAGGAACAAAAGTTCTCAATGGAAGAAACCCAAATGTCCAACTAACATCGAAGAATTTGCTTTCCCTGATGAGCCCAGAGTTAGCAAGGAAGAGATAAGAGGTCTCTTAGTGTTACAGCTTGTGTCTAGACGTCGCCCAAAGCCTTATGCATTCACAGGGGGGGCTTCTCAGGGGTGGCTGCAACTGCAGTGTGTGATGCTGGGATGAAGGCGTGCAAGTCCTGCATCAGCCCACCGACTGCCCTGGCATAGTTCTGGTGTGAGTGCCATCCAGTGGCCTGCATGGAATCTAAGACACAGAAAGAGGGTCGTCGCTTGCTGTTCTGCTCCTTCACTACCCCTCTGCCTTCTGCCCACATGAGTAGTCTCTCCTCTGGGATGCCCCTCTGCTGTGCCACCCTGCCTTGGAGCCAGCCAATTATGAACTGAAATCTCTACGGACTGTGAACTAAGCAAACCTTTCCTCCTTTACCTTTGGTTGTTGGGTATTTTGTCTCAGCCACGAGAACAGTAACTAAGAACCATGAGGGCTGGTGGGCGCATGTGGCTAAAATCACCAAGAGCGATCTGTCAGTGTCAATCAAACTGAAAAGCCCACCATGAGGCCCACCAAGTTAACCACACAAAGTGGTTAACCTACGACCCAGGGGGAGAGGTCCACGCACATTCATTGTGGTGTCCCTTATAAACGCAAAGAGAAAAGCCAGAAGCAGCTTACACACTGCAATCGTTCTGACACTAAATAGCAAAGTACACCAAAAATATAGATAAAACAATGACTGCACTGGAGTGATTAAGTTAGTACTTTATCTTCTCTTAAATCTTCTAAACTTCAGGGGTAATTCCATTAATTAAAAGGTTTTTGTTTTGAGACAGGGTCTCACTCTGCAGTGCAGCCTGGCCTTGAGCTCCCCATGATCCTCCTGAGTCAGCCCCGAGTGCTGGGATTACAGACGTGCCACCATGCCTAGCCAAATCAAAGTTATTGAATGGAAACAAGCTAGAATGAAAGAGCTACAGCCAGGCGTGGTGGCTTGCATCTATAATCCTAGCACTCTGGAAGGCTGAGGTAGGAGGGCTGCAAATTTGACTCTAGCCAAAGCAATTTAGTGAGATCCTGCCTGAAAGTCAAAGAAAAGGAAGAAAAAAAAGCTGGTGCTATAGCTCAGTGTAAAAGTTCTAAATTAAATCCTCAGTACTAAAAAAGAAAAAACACTACTACACGTGGATAGCTGTCCCTTATTACTGAAGGGGACTGGTTCTAGGACTCCTTGTAGACACCCAAATCCCCATTGCTCAAATTGCCTGTATAAAATGATGTCATAGCTGGGTACAGTAGCACTGGCCTGTAATCCTAGCACTCAAGAGTTTGAGGGAGGAGGATCGCTGTGAGCTCAAGACCAGCCTGGGCTACATAGTGAAATCCTATCTCAAAAAAGACCAAAACAAAAAGTGTCATATTTGCAATTGCCTATGCACATCCTCCTGAGCACTTTAAGTCATCTCCAGGTTACTACAGCTCGCAGGGTGAAAGCCATGCTAGTGTGTGGGTGTATGCACGGACACAGTAGGGACCAGAAGCCTCCACAGGGAAGCTCAGCTGCAGCAACACACTCAGAGGCTGGATGGACAGGGGATCTTCCCCCACGGACCTAATGCAACCATGGGGTTACAAGGACGAACAATGCCCTCTCAGAAGGGGTCTGCTGGCCAGTCGGGTGTCTCCACATCTCCCTACCTGCACAGACATTGCAGTGTGATCGCTGGGGCCCTGGGCCATCCCAGCAGACAGCACCTGTCCCTCCTGTCATTCTCCAGGATGCCTTGGGCAGACATAACACATGACCCCCTCCCAGCTGGCAAGCCAGCAACTGGCCCACCATCCACTTCTCCAGTACAATCTAGTCTGCATTTTAAAACCAACTTTGCCTGAGAGCCATAGAGACATGCCCTAGGAATCCAGAAGATGAAACAAACAGTTCAACAGACATGGACAAAACACTACTGACGTCAAACTAAAATCTGGAAATAGGCCCGCTGTCCAAACTTAATAAAGACAAAGGAAATCCAACGGACGTGCTCATGGCCCCACACCCTCTGGAAAGACTTTAAAATCAGTGCAGTCCCTCAGCCGCCCCTGCTCACTGGAAGCGAAGGATGGAAAGTGCTGGTTGCCAAAGGGGCCTGGGGGAGGCCCACTCACCTGTCTCCTCCCCGGGGATCCGGCAGGTGTTAAACAACCGCTCCCACTGCGCCGAGCAGAGGGGAATGGTAGAAACAAGGCGGGTCTGTAATAAAGACGTGCTTCAGTCGAACAAGCAAACTTCCAGAGGAAAATAAAAAAGGAGGAAACGAAGGCCACACATCTAATTGCAGTGTCTGCTCTCTGCTCACCCCCATCTTCCCCCAGTGCTCCCTGGGGCGGTTCACAGGGGCCTTGGCTGAAGCATGCCAGCATCTGACATCGGGCACTCACTTCCAAAATAGTGTACTTGAATCAGTTCTTTACAAACTGATGCTTAAAACAAAGGGCGTATTTAAGAGAGATATAAGCCAGGCACAGTGGCTGTGCCTGTAATCCTAGCTACTCAGGAGGCTGAGGCAGGAAGACTGCAAGTTCAAGGCTGGGCTGGGCAATTTAGTGACACCGTCTCACCCTAAAAAATAAAAAGGTCAATGGGGATGGCTCAATGGTAAAGTGCCTCTGGGCTTGATCCCCAGTACTGCTAAACAAAACAAACAAACAAACAAAAAAAAATTTTTTTTTTTTTTTTTTAGGGAAACTGCTAGAACTAAACTAACCAAATATATATTCATTTAGCATATTACAGAATTAAGGCTCAAAATTATGCTGGGTAGATGCACACAAAGGATTTCACTTACACCAAAGACTTGCCATGACAAACTAATGAGAATGACAAACAGCAGGTCGGTTATCCGAGAGGGAGAGACTGTGAAGAAGCAGAAGGACTTTCGGGGTGACAGATTCACCATCCTGACGGTGTGACAGTTTTGAGGGCTATCAGGATTCGGCCAGGCGGGGGCTTATCTGATCTGGCACTTTTAGCTCATGCAGTGTCAATCTCCCTCACTCAAGCTGTTTCACTGGAATCGGTGAAAAACACAGTGTTTGCCTACCGGTTTGATCTCCTCCCGGTCCAGCTTGCGTCTGTACAGCAGGATGGCGTGGATGGTGTTGCCTGCCCTTGCTGCCTGGATGGGAGTTGGGGTGACATAGAGCAACTCCTGGAAAGAGAAGGTACGACAAGAGAGAATGTTCATTCATGGGAAAGATACCGATCGGAGTACATCTGCAGAGCCCACCTCAACTGCAGACATTTCTATACAAGTGCATTCACATGTCTAAGAGATGATGAAACATATGGTAGATATTTAAGTTTCAAAAAATTATAACACACATTGCCATCAATCCCCCTCAAAATGCACCCCTTCGCTTTGAAAGCACTTATTCAATCATTCTTGCCACTTTTTAAAAAAAATGTATCAATTATTTAATTAGGTCCTTAGTAAGAAATTTAGACCACTAATTTATAAGGATAAATTTCACTTGTCAGAGCAAAAAAGAACACAGGTAGCCCCAGAGCTGAAGAACAGCTTTGAGTTTTGCTAAAATCTGTGAGTCTACTGCTTTCTGATTGGCCTTGTGCTGCTCTGGACTCTGGTAGCTCTCTTTCCTGGTGTTGACAATCTCACCCTCCTCGTGTCTGGGCTCTGCAGCCACTTCTTCTTTAATAAGCATCAGTGAGGTGTTTGGAGATTTTCACTTCACTGGTATCAATTTCTGTGGAGGTGGCAATGACAAATTTCTGTGTTCTACACAGAGGAACCGGATTAAGAGTAAGAGGCCCAGTCACAAGTAGCAAGCCACTGGCCAACTGCCTCAGAGAGACCACTCTCGTCTCTGTGGTGCCCCATGAGGATGATCAAGATGGCGCTGGGAGGCCAACTCAAAGTCTCCTCACATGCTGATCAAAGGATTTTTTGCTGTGGTTCAACAGCTTTTGGGGCACATCTTCAGCAGGGTAGTAGCTAGGTGTTTTTCACTTGATCTTAGCCAAAGGCCGAGAAGCAGCTGTAGGCATTTTCTGAAGGTTAACCACCCAGGCACCATCATTCTTTTCACCACCAACTGGTTTTGTGACTCCTTCTTTTTCTTCTCAACCTTCAGTTTATCAGCAGTACTCTCTCTCGTCATAAATCCTTTCTGGAACACACAGCAGATTGGGAGTATCTACCAATTCCTCTAATCAGGATAGGATTTCGGCTGCAGTGGTGCTGCCCCTTCTTGGACTTTTTAGCCTTCACGTTACCCTTTTGACCAGTGCCATTGGCAGCCTTCTTGGCTTCAGGTTTCTTCCCAGTTTTCTAGTCCACCATCTTGCAAGGTGACAAAGGGAACTGTTGCCACTTTCTGAGGCAGTTCTGGAAATCCTGTTTTTTATTTTATAAAAATCTTTTCTTCCTTCCCTCCTTTATTTATTTGGTACAGGGTCTCACTACACAGCCTGGACTCATAGAGATCCTCTTGCGTCAGCCTCCCCAGTTTCAGTGGCTAGCACAGTGTGCCTGGAGTTCCAGGGCTGGCACAGCATGTGGTGGTATTGGGGATCGAACTTGGGTCCTTGTGCTTGCCAGGCAGGCACTTAGACCATGGAGCTATCTCCCCAGCTTGGAAATCCCGTTTTGTGAGTGTCTTTACAACGTGTGATACAAAATAAAGTGACTGCAGCTGTTGTGTGCCATTGGACAGGCAGGCTCCCAGGAAATGGGTTACAAGACAAACTACAACTTAATTTTTTACTTTGGTCATTTTCACTTTGTTAACGCAGAACACAAGCCCTCAGGTATTCCTGGACCACTAAAAGATAACCATATTCTTCCCCAGATAGCCTTGTAGGATGCATAGGAAGAAAGCAATCAGGTAACGGAAATTTTCTGAAAGAGAAGTAACCCAAGCCTAAGACAACCATTTACATAGATTTATACTTGCAACGAAGTTGTTACACACAATTCTAAAAACCTTTGTTTCCCACAGCTGCAAAAGGCCAGGGACAACACAAATCTGAGCATCCTGGAAAGTTCTAGGTACACAGCGTATCCCGGCTGTACAAGAAAAGACTCTGTACCAGATACATGCTGATCCTCCAGGGCAAAGGTCAGAGGTGGCCGCTGTCTCCACTATGCAGCAAAAGAAGCTCTATGCACTACACTGACAATTTTTTTCTTTTTCAGTTTTACAGAGTTTCACCCAAGAGAAGAAAAGAAAAAACATTTTTTCATTTTTTTTTGAAATGAAAAATGAGAAAGACAAAGCAAACGACAGAAGGGAAAATAGAAGGAATCAAAGAAAGGGACAGGAGAAGTTTAACAAGTCTGCTGCTACACAGAGGCCGACAACCCAAACTGGGGGTTTCCAACCCATGGCAAAGTTTCAAAGGATGAAGAAAGGCCACAGGGCAGGAAAGAGGTACTCTGTGCAGCCTTCCCCGTGCCTCCACTGGCCCCAGCTCACAGAAGGGCAAGCACTGGCAGCACAATGAGCTCCAGGCTGGGACAGCACCTAGCCCTTAGGGACGCTGTGGACAGAAACACAGCACTGATCGAGGGGAACAGCAGCAGGGGTTCCCAGGACTGGGAGCTGAGCATGCCATGAGAGTGGTTTCCCCATTGACATTCTGATTTGGTAGCTCTATGTCCCTGTGCAATAAACAAATACAAAGGACCTGCACACGGGCTCTGCTGAGGAATGTAGACCTGGGCCAGAGCCCCTGGCAGCACAAAGCCTCAGACAAGAGGAAACAGGAGCAGTAGGTTGGGGCCAGGGAGATGGCTCAGGAAAATAAGTGCTTGCCTGGCAAGGGCAAGGGCCTGAGTTCAATCCCCGATTCCGCAAAAAAAAAAAAAAAAAAAACAGGAGCAGTAGGTGCGGCGGCCACCCCCAGAGCTGCCCACAGCTGGGAGGATGCTTCCCCAGACAAGTAGCCCAGCCCAAGGACTCACCATGGCGTAGTAGTTGCTGTTCACCATCAGTGGCCCTCGGCTCCGGAGGTAGATGTACTCCTCCCACCAATCGCTCACCTAGTAGACAGAGACAGGTAATAACCCAGAGGCTTCGACTTGCAGGGAGCCATGAGCCATGTGGGTTGTGAGCACAGGCCACATGCTCACGGGGAAGTTGCAGGTTTGCTCTGGGACACCTGCAAAGGACAGGGTCTTTCCGGAGCAGGTGGCCCTGAGCAAATGCAATTCAGGAAGTGGGCAATGGAAAGTGTTTTAGGGTTAGACATAGCTGGAAGGTATGTTCATCACATAGATGGCTAAAAAAAATAATAAATAAATAACAAAGAAAGGGCCAGGGAGACAGGGCAGCAGTCTAAGTGCCTGGCAAGAGCAAGGACCAGGGTTTGATCCCTGTACTATATGCTATCCCGGATCTGCACTGAGCCGGCCATGGAAACCCGGTGTGGTGGCACATGCCTGTAATCCCAGGGCTGGGGAGTCTGAGCTGCATAACAAAACCCTGTACCAAATAAAGAAATAAATGCCAAAGTGGCCAAGCAGGATGGTACATATCTACAATCCTAGCACTCTAGGAGGCTGAGGCAAGAGCATTGCAAGTTTGAGCCCAGCCAGGGCAACTCAGCAAAACCATGTCTCAAAAGAAAAAAAAAAAAAAAAAAAAGGCTAGCTCAGCCTTCTTTTAGTTGTAGCTCTGGGCAAAGTCCTGGATGAAATCCTCACTACTGAAAAAATAAAAATTAAACATAAAAGTGAATGATTGACTACTAACATGTTTTAAAAAGCAATACTCAAGGGTGGGGTACTTGCTGGCATGTGTGAGGCCCTCAGTTCCAATCCCCAGCACACACACACAAAAAGATCTAAAAGTGCCTCACATATTGCTTTTCCTTTTTCTATTTCCCAGGTCCTAAAAAAGCCAGTCTCAGGGCCCGTGATATAGCTCAGCGGCGTAAGCACCTACCTGGCAAGACTAAGGTCTCAAATTTGGTCCCAGGCACCACAAAAACAAAACAAAATAAGCCACCCATCTCCATGCTGCTCCATGTTAGAGCTGCGGCACTGACACAGGGGCCAGCACGTGCCAGGTCACTGTCCAGCAGGAATGTCCTGCTGTCACCTGGTGAGCTGTCCCTAGCACCACAGAGGCAGTGCCATCTCAACCTAGCACCATCCACTGGCTCTGTCAGGGTCACCCTTAACCCTCTCTTCCATGTGAGCTGTGTCCTGAAACTCAGACCTCTCAGACGCCGTGCAGCCTAGACTATTGGCTCTCGCCCCACCCTGACACGTGGCCGCTCAGCTGGGCCAGGGAGCAGACTGTGGCTGAGAGGCGTCACTGGAGCTAATGCTAAGGGGACCCTGGGCCAGAGGCAGTACCAGAAGGCGTCAGTGCTGGGCTACAGGTGTCTGACCCAGGGCTCAGGGGCAATGCTCCTGGAGCCCAAAGGAGCCAAGCCAGAGGGTAGAGCAGGTGGCAAAGGTGGCGTGCGCACAACTGCTGGTGGCAGTAAGTTCACAACCTCCTTCCAGCCTGAAGACAACGGACATCATACAAAAACATCAGCCAGAATGAGGTACGAATGTTCCTTCCCGCCCGGGGAAACCTTTCACTAACCATGATCTGGATGGGGCCTCACGGGTGATGGTGGCTGATCTCAAACGTGATGCTGGCTCTGTTACACCTGACCTCCAATTAGTATTTTCACACAGAAAAATTTCACCAAGAAACGGTTACACTGTGATGCACGTCTGTCATCCTAGCACTGAGGGAGGCTGACGCCCGAGAATTGCAGGTTCTATTCCTGCCTGGGCAACTTAGTAAGACCCCGTCTCAAAATTAAAAAATTGAAAGAGCTGGGGATGCAGCTCAGTGGTAAAGCGCCCCTGGGTTTAGCCCCTGGTGCCACACACACACACACACACACACACACACACGAAGGTACATTATATCTATATATACTCACATAATTTGTGGCCCACCAGGACTTTAACTTCAAATACCACTGTAGTCTTGGTCCAAGAGTGACAGCAAAATCTTGGGCAAGCACTGTCATCCGTTTAAAGTCCTCCTCCTTCATAAGGGGTTTCACTGATTCCAGATACTGGGGTGAGTGAAAAAAAAAAAAAATCAGGTGCCTTAAACACGCATGGAAGCCACGGCTCCTTCACCTGTGCCTTAGGGTGGTCTCACTATGCCACAAAGATTAAACCTGCCTGAGCTCGCTGTACCGGTCCACGGCCAGGTGAACGTACACCAATGCTAAATGCCATTGTAGGTTGATAATTAAACAGTGTCACCTTGTTGTGGTTTATATCTGGATGTCCCCCAAAGCCTCATGTGTCCAAAGGTGGGGCTTTTGGAAGGTGATAGGGTTATGGGGTGCTACAGATAAGAGTGGCATTAGCTATGGGGGTCGGGGAGTATGCAGGGAGCAGCATTGGGGGGACGCTCGGTGACAATGGGAACGAACAATCCCTGGATCAGGACTTCCAGCACACAGACTTACAGGCAGACAGACGCACCCCAGCCCACCCTAGAGAGCCAGGCATGGGTCGTCAAAACCTGCAGGGGGCAGTTCACATGCAGGACATGTAAGAGCCTTAGGGGCTGCGGAGACAGCTCAGCGGCATAAGCACCTGGCTAGCAAGCGCAAGGTCCCGAGTTTAATCCCTGATACCAAAAAGAAAAAGAAAAAAAGAGCTTTCGCCTTGCTCCTAAGTGAGAGGTTACAGAAAGTATGATTGCTAAAAAAATAAAAAAATAAAAAAAAAAAAAAGAAAGAAAAGCAAAACTGCTATTACATCTGAATCCATTAGGAGATGCTTTATTCCCACAAACTATTTGCTGGAAAAACAGCTTCAGGGCAGCAGTGATCTCCTGGTCGGCCTGCACCATGAAGGGCAGGGCCGTGTTCCCTAGACACCGCCAGCTGCTACGCGTCCTGGGGCTACTCACAGTGAAATGTGCACCCCTGAAATGGAAAACTGCACTCACTACAGTGAGCTACGCAGGCAGGCAGGTGCCCAGTGGACGCTGTCCTGAGTGTCACCCCTGTGTCGCCCTCCTGGGGTCCGGATGGCGCCGTACCGTCAGCCTCCACGCCCAGGGGACAAGGTAGGAGAGCAGGGATGAGATGGAACATTCCCAGACAACAGGGACTAAACCCTAAGCCTAGATTCAAATCCTGAAGCCTACAAGCTTTCTGTGTAAGCGTTTCCAAAAACAGGCCAAAAGACCAGAACCCCGGTACCTTGATGGTTGAAAGGCAGAACAATGCTGTCATTTCATGGTCTGGTGGTTCCCCAACAAACAAAGTACAAAATTACCCTCCCTTAGCACAACCCTGAGGGCAACAACCCTGCTCCTAGACATATGCCCCAAACAAGGGCCAACAAGTGCTCCGACAACAACCTGTGCGTGAATAGTCACGGCAGCACTGTTTCACAATGGCCAAAAGGTGGAACAGCTAAGTGGCTCTCAGCAGGTGGATCCACGAATGGTGGTCTTTCCAGCCGCAAGCTAGAGTGTAAATGGCCTTAAAACCACTCTGCTTAAAGCAGACATGGTGGTGCACACCTACAATCCCAGTACCTACAGGCAGAGGCAGGAGGAGCACCACAGGCCAGTCTGGGCCTCATAATGAGTTCGAGGTCAGCCTGAACAGAGCAAGACTGTCTTCAACAAACCTCCCAAAATACAGTGATACTTTAGGGAAAAAATTGTAAAAACCCCACAAGGTACATAGCTAAGGGCTAATAAAAGCACATGGCGGGGCTGGTGAGATGGCTCAGTGGTCTAAAGCACCTACTTAGAACAAGCTTAACAAAGCACAGGGACCGCGGTTCAATCCCCCAACACCACATGCCAGCCCGCCCCCCCCCCCCCCAAAAAAAAAAAAAAAAAAAAAAAAAAAAAGCACATGGCAGTCAGGAGTGGTGGCACAGGCCTACAATCCCAGCACTCAGAACAATGGGACAGGAGAATCTGTTTGAGGTCAGCCTGTGAGACCCTGTCCCAAAAAATAACAGTAAACTGACTTACAGTCTGAATTGGACAGCCTTAACCGGAAAGGTGCCTGGCAACCCCAAGTGTGAGGAGGGAACACACTCACCCTGTTCACGGTGTCTTTGACGGCTGGCACAGGTTGGCGAGGCAGAGAGGTCTGGAAGCTATACAACATGGGTTTCCGACCTGAAAAGATCTTGACCATGGTCTGAAAAAAAAAGTCACAGTTTCAAAGATGAGGCTAAGTTAAAGACCTAAAGCCAGTCCTCCACCATACCCACTTGTCCACTACTTACTGATGGTCTCTGCCAGTTTATTTTTCCAAGGACCCAATCTCAGGCCCCATGCTCACAGGCCTTGGCACAGGGGCGTGGGCATATGTGCACGTGCACACACGCACGCATGCACATGAAGGAAAACAAGGCTGTGGCAGGAAGGGGCAAATGGGACAGACTCTGAGATGTTGCTACCCCTGGTTCTCTGACCATACCTCTGGGGCCTGTGGTGTTCCTGCCTGCCTGGGCCTTCACTTGTAGGGTTTTGCATGAGGCCCTCAGTTTTGGGACTGGTTCAAGGCTCTGGGGACAGAGTAAAGCCAGCCTAGTCCCGGAGCACACAGTCCCTGGATAAGGTCAGGTGTATGGAGGACACAGTCACCCCCTGGGACACAATGCAGTAACAAGTCATCCATGTTCACTGAACAAATGCATTCCTAGGGGCCCTGGGACTCAGCTCAACATCAGCAACAAGTGACACACTGGGCAATGTCACTGAAGTGTTTTCCATGGGAACCTTCTCCAGCTCATTTGGTGTTAAAGTGCTTCTGTAGAAATGAAAACACTACTTGACAACAGCAGGCAATGATCTGGGGAAAAGGGGAGACCTGAGACCTGAAACACGCAGTGGCTCCTCAGTGACTCCCGGGAGGTCTGGGGCAGCAGGCCAGCTCATGGCTGGGGTACCCATGGGGCCACTGAGCACAAAGGCCCAACCTCAGGTTCAGACAACATCACCAAAGCTGCCACATCACTTTACAAACACTAATAAAACCACGAGTGAGCCCAGAACTGGAGGGAGGAGGATTTTAAGGAAAATCTCCACAGGGTGAAGTTCATAAAAATCACTGAGGCCACTCTATAAAACACAAGTTAACAAAGCTATTATTTCTCAATAAAATGCCCAGCTCCAAAGAGCTTAAATAGCCAAGAACAGCAGATGGCAGTGAGGACAGGCAGGTAGGGTCAAATGAGACACAGAGTGGGGAGGCCTGCAGCACTCACACAGCCAAACCCTGAGGCAGGGGCCTCGAGAGCCAGAAGTGATCCTCACCTCAGACAGCTGCTGTTTCAAAAAATGTGAGCTCATTAAAGCAAAGATCTAACGTGGGACGTGGACCTCAGAGCCTTTCATTTTCCACAGGAGCCTTGGGCTCAAAGCCACGGCAAGCAGAGGGAGTATGCAGCAAGGTACTAGTCACGCTGCTTAGCACAGGTCAGCCAAGGAAGCCACTGAATGTCTGCACTCAAGGTCCCCATAAAAGCTACGAGGACCTGGGGGTGACACATCTGTCTGACCAACTGTCTGAGCTACAAATAAGCAGATGCAAGGGGCTGGGGAGATAGCTCAGCAGAATAAGCACATGCCTGGCAAGAGCAAGGGCCTGAGTTCAATCCCTGGTTCCATAAAAAAAAAAAAAAAGCAGATTCAAGACTGAATGTCACAGAGGTCACCAACATTATCAGACAAAATGCCGTCTGGCCCAAGCCAAAGATAAATCCAGTCTTTGTAGTCACTAGAGACCAAGCCACGTGGCATGTGTCAAAGGAGAACCAGTCCCAGAGAGCCCGCCCTTAAACACCACTGCCAGGGGTGCTCGGTTACCATCCAGATCTTGGTGCTGCGGCTCATCTTGCCGTGCTCGGCGAACATCCAGCCGTGGTAGGACAGGAGCACCTTCAGGGAGTAGCGCATGGTGAAGATGAGCGCCACCCACAGGCCCGTGCCGAAGAGGAAGCTGCTGACCACTTCCTTCGTCTGGGTGGACAGGTAGCCACTGGGAGACAAATCATGGTGAGAGAAAAGCACAAGCACAGGAAGGAGGCTGCAGGTAACACCCGTGCACGACACTGCATGCTACAGGACAAAGCAGCCTTTGAGGGATCAAAAGGAGAAGCCCAGCCCAGCCCAAATCATCCCAAATCTGCACTGGCCCCAGCAGCAAGAACACTCAGGAATCCACCTCTCCAAAGCCCACAGCAGCTCTCGACCCTGCCTTGAGGTGAAGCAGTTCTTGGGCACAAGTCAGAGCACTGGGGCAGGGGGATCTCTGGAGTCCAGCTTGAGCAATACAGCAAGTCTATTGCTTTAAAAAAACAAAAAGGAATGGAACCCGTGTGATGGTGCACACCCGTAATCCCAGCACTAGGAAAGTGAGGCAGAGGCAGAGGAGTTTGAAGCTACCCTGAAAGCTACATAGTGAGACCCAGTCTCAAAACAGGGCCGGCCAGATAGCTCAGCAAACTAACGCACCTGCTCAGGAGAGAGCAGTGGCTGGGGTTCAATCCCCAGCGTGCTGTGCTGGCCCCACCCCTAGGGTGCACTGAGACAGTGATTGACACTGAGAATGGTGGCCCCTGCCTGTAATCCCAGCGCTTGGGGGCCTGAAAACAGGAGAATCACTACAAGTCCGATCTACGTAGTGAGAATGTGTAGATGCTGTACTAAATTTAAAAAAAAAACAGACACAGAAAGCGTACAGAAGAGCCAGCCAGTATATGTCTGTGGGAAAAATACAGGACTTTTTCCAGGGTCCAGGAGGCATGGTGAGCAGCCATCATTAGGTGGAGATCTGCTTGTGGGATGCCCAGGCCCTGGTGGATCGGGACCGCCCCGCCTGGTGCTCACAGGGATTCTGGGCCATCTCCTTCTTGCTGAGTTTTCCCCTCTTCAATCTACCACTGGATGTCACATTTGTCACTTTATATCAGGAGCTTGTTCATGATCCAGACAACACTTCCTATGAATGAGCACTCTGCTCGTGTGACATAATCACTGAAGCATGCAGGAGGGCAAGTGGGAGGCTCACCGAGTTCAAGGCCAGCCTGAGCTACCGTGAGAGAAACACTGTCCTTTGTGAAGGGAAGGAGGGTATTTCATGGTGAAAAATGGATCTGTAACAATGACACAGCATTGACTCATTACAAGGATTAAAGTCAAAGAGAGGGACAGGGAGATAGCTCAGCAGCATAAGTGCCTGCCTGGCAAGTGTAAGGTTCCGAGTTCAATCCCCGTACCATAAAAACAAAACAAAACAAAGTCAAAGAGACAGATATGTCACCTGTATAAATCTAAATTATGTGACCATAGGTTTAAGGCAACTAAAAACAAAATCATAAAATTATGAAATAAAATGGGGCACATGCCTATAATCCCATCACTGGGAAGGCTGAAAACATGAGGATCACTATGAGTCTGAGCTGCATAGTGAGACCCTGAACCAAATATGTTTTTAAAAAAACAATAAAATGAGACAAAATGTCACTTTCTGGTTTTCAGTTTTAGCTCTTTTGGAAACTACAAAATATTGAGAAAATAAAAATTATTAGTGTCCTTCAATGGTTAAAACAACAAACATAACTGGAGTCTCAGAAACTACCCATTTAAAAATCCTATGATACTTAACTGACATGAAAACATTATATTTAAGGAAAATTAATTCAGCTTCAAAACTGGTATTTTTCCATAGAACCTGGCAGCTCTAGTGCTCAATGGTAGCCTCTGCACCGGTGTGATCTCTCCTGATAATCTAATCTGCAAGCAAACCTGGATTTAGGGACTGGAGAAGCTATCTTTAGGACATTCTATATTTTAAATTTCTAAGTACTTTTAATACTACAGCACCATTTAACTCAAAAAAAATAAGACAAACGACATGCTCAGGACTTTTTATTTTTTGAGACAGGGACTTACTGTTTAATTCAGGGTGGGCTTAAGTGCACTACGTAGCCCAGGCTCATAGAACTCACTATCTGCCTCAGTCTCCCAAGTGCTGGGATTATAGGCACGTGCCAAGTCCAGCTATAAGGCTTTCTATACCTGCACACAGGCACCTAGACAGCCAGGAACTCTCTTTTTAAAAAAAACACGCTCCCCCTGGGTGTGGTGGTACAAGCCTGTAACCTGAGGCAGGCAGCTCTTAGTGAATTGGAGGCCAGCTTGGGCTACATAGTAGACTCTGTCTCAAACAAAACAAAATGAAACAAAACAAGAACATATTCCTTACAAGGCTGCAGGGATGGACAGAAGCCAAGATGAACCCAGTGGGTACAGCCACGCTGACAGCAGCCATCTAGGACCGGGGAGGTGGGCAGCTCAGTGCAAAAGCACTCATCTCATGTGCAGGAGGCCCAGGTTCTATGTCCAGTATGAAAAAATAAATAAAACTAAATCCAACCCCCTAAAGCCCTACATCCCAGAATACTGGAGTGACTTCCTCCCTGGGAGATCGTAGCAGAGGCCCTTGGGACAGGAAGGCACTGAGCCTTAACCTGACCTTTCTAAATACGGGCCACAGATGGCCCAGTTTACCAAAATAGGTTCAGAGGGACAAAGAAACAAATCTTATAAAGACCCAGATTACAAAAGGCTTTAAATAGCTGACACGTCTGAAGAGAATCTAGTTTTGAGCGACAGCCTAGGTTAGAGTGCATTACAAGTCTGCATTTAACTCAGGAGGCTGAAGCAGGCGTTTGAGGCCTGCTCAGAGAATTTAGCAAGATCCTGCCTTGAAATGAAATTTACAAACTTTACGTTGGTCCCAAAGCAATCTAAAAGGACACAAAACTGGTTCAATGAGTAAGGGGTGGCTAGGCATGGCGGTGTACACCTAGAATTCCAGAGAGCTGAGGAAGAAAGATAAAAAAAATTCAGGCCCAGCCTGGGCAATTTAGCAAGACTGTGTAAAAAGTAAAATTTCTGAAAAAGAATACAGGATATAGTTTATTGCAAAGCACCTGGGTTCTAATCCCATTTTCTTTCTCTCTTTCTCTATCACTCTCTCTCTCTCGCAATCTGTCTCTACACACACACACACACACATACGCACACACACGGAAGCAAAGTATAAAATACAGGGGCAGGGTGTCCCTGGGGAAAAGCCTGATGCTCTCAGGACCTAAGGCAGACTAGCAGATAGCCTGGGCCAAGTGATCAGGCCTGACAGCTGCACCTTGTTGACAGAAACGTCAGCAGTACCCGCCACATCATCCCCATTCCCAGGCAGACAAGGAAACGGCAGGCACCCAGGCCAGGCACGGTTCCACCAAGATGACTAGGAATTTTTACCCCACCTCCTGCAGGTACTTATAAAGCCAGTACTGCTGGGCAGGCCTCTCCTTCACACCCAAGTGTCCTGAAAAAGTCCTAGGAATCAGGACCACCACTCTTGGCTGAAGATTGGTTCCATTCAGCTAAATCTGCTTCATCATTTGAGTCATCAGAATTGAACAGAGTCAGACATTAGCTATGAGCAGAATCTGCACTGCATTTTTGCCACTTGATATTTTCCCTGATTTTCCTGTCTGTCTGTCTGTCCATCTGTCTTACAGTGCTGGGTGTGGAAAAATCTAAAACTGCAGGCAGAAAAGTGCTAGGGGCTCCCCAAGAGGTCCAAGCCCCGTTGAGAAGAACTACAGGTGGATATAGCCCCAGACCTCCCATCCTTAGCAGTTAATTCAGGGGGACCAGAACTCTGCGATGGACCAACTCCAGTGTAAAGAAGCATTTACACTGGTAGCCTCCTGGAAGAAATTTCCTGTGGGCCGCTGTGAGCTCACCCACTGCCATTGCTGAGCCTTGGGCAAAGGGACACCTTCTGGTGGGCGCCCTAGGTCTCATCCGGCTTACAAACTCCCAGGGGACCTTGACACCAGCTCAGGCAATGCAAGAAAAGCCATCATGAGGACAGCAATAGCTTCACACCCAAGTGTCCTGAAAAAGTCCAGGACGCAAACCTAGAACAGTGCCAGTCACAGTACGTGAAGAGACATGCCAATATTGGCAGGTGGAAAATCAGCGAGTGCCCAGACAGCTGGATAGGACTACTCACGTGCCATCAAGGGTACGGCTGATCCTCGCGATCATCCCTAAGGAAGGGTCCACCTTAGTGTACATGGATGACATCACACCCACCACCACGATGAACCAGCTGGAAGGACTGGCCGGGAACACACCGGTGATGATGCCATTCTAGACAAAGACATGGGGACCATGAGTCACGCCCTCTTCCATAGCCTGTGCCACATGGAACCCAGCAGGTGTAAGGCAGTGGAGTGAAGGTGTGGGCAGGTGACCTGGGACCAAACTACCACTAGCAGCTGGGTTGCTACCATGCATAGTTGGCTCCCTTCTTCAACTTAACAAACCTTACCCTGAGATGGTCGTTCTCCAAGCGTGACCCTGGGTCGTGAGGACCATCCTGGCCCCAGTCTACCATACAAACTCCTAGGCTCCACCCAGACTGGCTCCTGACAGCTGCTGATGAAGGATAGCCCTGGGTCACTGGGAAAGCCCACTCCCAACCTGCTGCTGCTCAAGACGCCCAGCACCCGGCTGCACTACTGGCCCTGCACAGTCCCTGAGTCGGGCTGCTTCAGAGCCCCTATGTAGTCACAGGTTCCACAGATCATGCGAGAATGTGCTGGGAAAAACTCCAGGGGGAGAAAAAAGTTGTATATGAAGCAAAACTGGCAAAATATGGATCACTGTTGAAATCAGGAGGAAAACATTAGGGACCACTGGGTGTCAAACAACTCCTCACTGAAGTCTTTCCAGAAGACATTTGGTTTGAAGGGTCTGGTTATATATGCCTGTCAGCAGGACTGGTTTGACCAAGAACAGACAAGAAAGCCATCAAAGTTGTGCTAGAATTCTTTTAGGCAGTATTCCCACCTATACATGCCTGCACCATTCCATTTCCAAATGTCTAAATATACTTTCTGAAATAAAAATGTTTTTGATAATAAATCAGTGTATTAAAGTTAACTAAAAAATAAAATGTGTTCCAGTCACCGAGTCTCTCCAGCCACAAATCCACACCAAGTCCTGTGTCCTGCAGCAGCTTGGAGGCATTCTCCCTACTGGCCATGGCACTGTCCCCTAAAGTGTGGCCATATATTACTTATTCTTTTCTCTCTCTCTCTCTCTCTCCCTTTTGTTTTTCTTTTTGTTTTGAGACAGGGTCTTGCAGTTGTGCTCGCTTGCCCATGACAGCCTGGAAGCCCAATTCTCACACTGGCAACGCAGCACCAAGAATGACGAGTTTCACACTGTAAGGAAGAGCCAGATGACTTTCTGCAGAACTGTGCCTGGTGATCAGCACATGCAGCAAGTGACAAATTCCTTGATATATCTTCCTAAGACATTTTCTATCTGTTTCTGTTGGAATCTTCTTTTGATTACACGTTGGTTATTACCACCTATAGAACCAGTGTCATTCCCAATTTTGCCAAGAAAAATGCAAGGACTTTGAAGTTTAGCCTGGTGATGTAACAGTTTACGGACATCTAGAAAGGCGACGGAAGAGTTTTTCTTGCTTCCTACTTGGATGACCTGTGGCGGTTTCATGACAAACTTTCTTTTTTCTCCTGCAATCATATTTGGATTCTTTTCCCTCGTGATGTTGAACATTCAATTCAGCAGCTCTTCATATATGCAATTTCTCTGCAAGCCTGCCCAAGCAGGCCTGTCTGGTTACTGAACGAGGTAACACCATCATTTCGTGCTATCTTCATCTTCTACAACTTTCTAGTCCTTCGTCCTCTTCTGGAAACTTGACATTCTCCTATGTCTTCTTCCTACTGCCAAGCTCATCCTCTGGTTCAGCTGGCTCTTGGATGTCACCTTTAATCTTAATCCTTTATACCCTCTTCTGCTTCATCATGAGTAAATATCTTTTTCGTTTTATCTTCTGTTTCTTTTGATTAAAGAACTTCAAGTTGCCTGGATCATCAGAAGTACCTTTCTCCTACTGTCTTCTTCATTGGCTTCCACATCTGCCTTCGGCTGGTTCTGGCTCCACTGGCTCCACTTCTTTTGTCTCTGAGAGCTGGGTTTCTTCTGTCTGGGCATCCCCTTCCTCATATAACATAAAGGGTGGCTTCTTTTTCTTTTCTCCTTTTCCTTCTTCTTTGGTCTTTTTGACAGGATTTTCCTATGAAGTTCAGGCTGGCCTTGAGCTCACTTTGTAGCTCGAACTCACAACGATCCTCCTATCTCAGCCTCCAAGTGCTGGGATCACAGGTGTGAACCTCCTCGTCCGGCTTCTTTTTCTTCTTGCTCACAGTAGGATCAAAAATAATCTCTGCCGATGCCCTGGAGAGAATGGGGTACAGCCAAATCTGCAGATCTGCAGCCCACATTTGCCCTACTGCTCCAGGCTGCCCCACATGGGGGCAGTTGGCATTAGGCCACTGACTTCCCTCCTGCGGGTGGGTTCCACATATTGTTTATTCTATGAGCCTTGCCAGTTCACAGTAAACAAGGTCTTGAGGGTTGAATAGTTTCCACCCTCTAAGGGGCACCCTCCTTTCCTCTACAGTGATGAACTTCATGCCAGCTGGTAACCTGGGCCAGGAAACCACCAGCAGAGCCCCAGGACACCAGAGCAGGGAGTTGGCTCTGGGGACCCTTCTGCTGCCACCTATGCTAGCCCAGGGCCTTCCCAATAGCCTTCCTGTGCCACCCAAGAGAGGGACTACAGAGCGTCACACTCTGCACAGTGGGCTGGGGTACGAACTGCTTCAGTATACTGGTTTGAATGTTTTCAAGTATCCACTTAACTCCCGCTAGGTTCTCTTTTTTAAGAAACTAAAATTAGGCCAGAGGGTATAGTTCATCACAGGCTCAATTCTCAATCTACCAGGGGCTACACCCAGTTATTACACAGTTATTAAACACACTTGCCGAAGTTTAGAGTCAATCTTTCTCAACCAAGCGCAGAATGGACACGCGTTCTATTTCTGATGAGACCTCTCGCTAACTAGGTCACTTGCCCTGGGAGCCTCAGCTTCCACGCTGTTGTGTAGCCAGCCAACACGCTCTGAGGCGAATGCCTCTCAGAATTCACCAGAACTCAGTAGCCAGCACACGTCTGAAGGTGCCCATGAGCCTGAGGTGCCATGGAAACATGAACGCCGTGTCACGTCTAAGCGAAAACACGAACTCCCCCATGGTATCAAGACAGCCATTCTTAGGTGTCAAAGTGAACACTGTGGAGATTAAGACGAGTATTGGAGAACCTTGAATCGGATGAACTTCTTTTTCCAAGAATGAAGGCCTGAGAGACAGATCTGCTTCAGGGCTTCATGGCTCAGCTGGAGGTCAATCCCGTCTGGAGTGACAGTGAACTGAAAGGCCACAGCTTGGTGAGCTTCTGCCATTCTGAGAGGTTACCTAGAAGGTGGGAAAACAGAACACAGCGGGTCATTTTCCCAGGAAAATCCTTTCTAAAATTGTAGATCATCCTACATTTCCTCCTTGTTTAATAGATTTTATATTTTCTTTTACAAAATTTTTAATGTTTGTTTGATTGATTGATTGATTTGGTACAGGGTCTCCCCTACACAGCTCAGACGCATAGTGATCCTCCTGTCTCATTCTCCACAGCACTGGAATTACGGGCATGCGCCACCACGCCTAGTTTTGTGGCTGGAACAGTGCACCCGGGGTTCCAGGGCTGGTGTGGCATGCAGTACCGGGGATTGAACCCAGGTCCTTGCACTTGTCAGGCAGGCGCTTAGACCACTGAACCATTTCCCCAACCCCAAATTTTATATTTTCACCAACAGGTTGAATTTTGTCCCTCCACTTCATATCCCTCTCCTGTCCTGTACCCACAGACAACTGCAGTCTTTCTTTAAAGGGTTGAGATGGTTATACAGGCTGAGCTGGCACAAGGCCAGTGTCCTCAGGCCCCCATGCCCTGACCATCACCAAACCACACCCCCAGGCAGCACCCCAAGCCCACCCAGCAGGTACAAGGAGCTGCTGGCTGTTGAGGGACCACCACTGCAGAGATAATTCTTCCTTGCTGCCAGCCAGCAGAGGGTGGCACAGAAGAGCTCCTTATCTGCAGGCGTGGCCCCAGCAGCACCCCACCTTCAGGCAGGGACTCGGCGCCAATGCTAAATGCCTGTGCCTCTACTGCTGTTGCGGGCTGACCTGGAAAACCTCCCTAGACTCCTGCACTGCACCAGAAACAGCCAGCAAAGTGTGCAGGGGAACTGGTGCTCCCCTGACAGGTGGCACCCGAGGCCAGCGTGGCCTTAATCCCCCCCCCAGTGTTTTAGAGGCACCTGGGCTGGGGAAGCTGATGATATGGACCCTCGAGCCTGGTGCCACTTCCTAATGGGGAGGTCTCGGTGTGGCCAGAGATCAGGCCGGGACTGGGAGTCGAGGGCTCAAGCCCGGACTCACACATGCAAAATGAAACATCACCAGGTGATCTAGGAGAGGACCCAGGGGCAGGTGGCATCTCTAGGAAAGGGGGAGGCCCGTGTGTGTGACCACCTGGGAACTGTCTCTTAGGACCTTCGAGCTCTACTTTGATTTAAAAATGAGATGGCAAAATTGCTTCCTACAAAATGTTAAAAAAAAAAAAAAGGGGGCTGGAGAGATGGCTCAGTGGTCTAAAGCACCTACTTGAAACAAGCTTGGCAAAGTACAGGGACCGCGGTTCAATCCCCCAGCACCACATGCCAGCCAGCTGCGCCCCCTGGTGGGCTGAGCTGGCCACCCCCCCCACACACACAAATAAATAAATGTTAAAAAAAAAAAATTGCTTCCTACATACCTGGTTGATTTTGAAGACATACATCCCATTTTGAAAGCAGCAAGATGACTAACAGATGCTTGCTACTGACAAATGTACAGAGTTGAGGACAACACCAAGCGGACAGCTCTGTTTCCCAAAAAGCTACTCAAGGGGCTCCAACGCTCCCCCAGCTCCCTGGGGGACCAACATCACCAGCATTCTTAGTGGCAAAGAAATGAATGTAACTGATAAGCAAAGGATTATCGATGCCAGATTACACAGCGTTCTCAGTCAACTATCCAGAGACACACGTGCAGTGTCTGCTCCGAAACTAAGCCTCAGCTCCAGAGAATGAGGGGCTGGGAATATTTCGTTTCCTTTTCAGGACTAAAATATCCTGCTCACAACTACTTAAATTTAAGAAAGACTTATGGAAGTTTTGGTGGTTTTTTTTTTTTTTTCTTCTGGTGTTAGGGATTGAACCCAGAGCCTTATACACGCTAGACAAATCCTCTACCATAAAGGTACATCCTCAGATCTTTTTAAGATGGGGTCTTGTTAAATTGCCAAGGCTGGACTTGAACTTAAAATCCCCCTGCCTCAGCCTCCCAGAAGGGGATTACAGGTATGCACCACTATGCCCTTTGGGTTTCCTCATTTTGACAGTTTTAGAGTAATTATAATAAACCATCCTAACAGGACCTCCAATGGACAGTCCTTCTAGATTCGTGGCAGGTCTGAGGCAGGATAGTTAATCTGCTCCTTTTTTCTTCCTAACCTGAGCACAGAGCTCTGTTCATACTAAGGATTCATTCAAAACAATCGTTGCCTCACACCAATAAAGAAATAAGTGAAGTGTTTTTTAGACATCACATGATGTTGTGATGTTTTCACTATTTCGCAAATAGCGCAATATTTACAGTGCAATTTTATAGTGTCTGGGCTTTGGTGTGCGGAGGGTCAGACAGGTTCTCTAAGAGCTGTGAAGCTGGACAACCCAATGGTCTCGTGGGGGCCGTTCTGCAGGTCTCTCGTGTCCACACAGATCTCTCAACATGTCACAATGTGTCTAAGGATGCTTCAGCATCTGTCTGCTGCAGGAGGTGCCAGATCCACCATGTGCAGGGAAGGCTTTTGGGGGCAATGGCCACAAACAGAAGGCTGTTCAGAGCTAAGGCCCCAGGCTGGCTCTGACTGGTCCTGGATGCCTGCGTCCCCAAGGCAAGCACACCATCTGCCCAACCCCTGCTCTGCAGGGGCAGCCACAGGGAGCCGAGTAACACAGCCAGAAACCAAAAAGATAGTATCCATGGAGCCAGAGAGGCATCCAACCACATCTACTTGACCTGCCCGATTTTATCTACTATGAAAACACTAAAAAAGAGAAAAGCCAGGCTGTCCATCAGTCCCTGCCTCTCCGCTGACCTCCCACCCTCTTCTTGGGCAGAGGCCACACCCATCATCTGGTAGGGACTTCCACCTGCCACCTGCAGCTCCTACCTTTCACCCCATGGGTGTGGGCACAGCTTGGCAGCCTCTGTCACTTCCAAGTCTACCAGAACAGCAGCCACAGTGACTGCTGACACAGCCACCATGGCTTTGCAGAGTCAAAGTCACCCTCAGGGTGGGGCAGTAGGGCAAGCCCTTCCCTCATTCCTGACCCCGAGCCAGGGGTTCAACAGTGACTCTGAAGCTAAGGGATTTCCTCAAATGCAGGAACTGTAACTACACAAAGCCACTCACTTCCCCTGCTTCCCAAGCCTTGAGGGGCAGAGGGCTCGTGCACCAGTCTCTGAAAGCCAACCTAAGAATAACAGTCACCCTGTTCCCTGCTCTGGTACATCCCTACCAAGAGAAAGCCCTGGGACAGTTTTCCCTTGTGCCCTGGGGTGGCTCTCTATAAAATACAGGAAGCAAGTCTTTTCCTCCAAGCAAACAGATGAGCAGCCCCAGGCCACTGGCTAAGGAGCCCAGGCTGTGTCTGCTTCTTGTACTATGGATAGCCACCAAGAAGATAACAATGTACAATGTATCGAAACTGTCCTATTAATCAGCTTTGAAACTGTCTCATTCATATTTGTTTCTCAATAAAAAAAAAAAAAAAAAAAAAGAGCCCAGGCTGGAGGCTGGAAGGCCAGGGCCACCTAGGAAAGCCACTCCCATGTGCACAGAGACAGTACCAGGGAGGCAGCTTGAGCGAACAAGGCAGACAAGCTGGGATGCAGAACCCAGTGTGTGCCGGGGTGAGAATATCCAGTGGAAGGCAGCAAGTCATTAATATGTCCAAGGACAGCAGAAGCCTCCACTGTGTTCTGCAGCATGAGATGCTGCAAAATATATGGGAGTTCAAAGCAGCACCTGTTTTAACCCCTCTTGCAATAAAGAGAATGAAGGTTCTATATTGACATGGGGGGTGGGGGAACGCGTCAACTCCATTTATTCATTTGTCTGTTTGTCTTTTGGGGGGCAACGTTTCCATGTGCAATTTAGGCTGGCCTTGAACTCACTTTATAGCCGTTGAACTTCCTCCTGCCTCTACTCCTACCTCAGCCTCCCCAATGCTGGAATTATAGGGAGTATTGGGATTATAGGTGTATACCACTACACCTGGCTACATCAATTCCTTTTACATAAATATGCATCAAATCCTTTTAAATGAAGAATGAAACACAAGACCTGACCAGCCCACACCTTCCTCAAAACGTGGGATTTTGTCTTTTCTATCCATATTCAGGGGTCCTTGGACTGCCTGCTACCCAGTGTGCGTGAGTGTGTATACGCGTGAGCACGTGGGGCCCGGGCTACAAATGCTACCACACTCTTGAGTCTTCCACAGCTTGTTTCTGTCCTAGAGATGCCCCTGCATCTGTCCACAGGGTCCTAGTCCCCCCAGGTCCCTAAGCTAGGATAGTCCTGGGACCCTGTTTTCTTCCACCATGTACACAGCAGTTGAATTCATACATGAGGAGGAGGCAGAGACCGGCTAGTGTATGAGGCTAGTCTAGTGTCTTTCTACTTAACGGAGGTCCCCCCAAGAGTGCCTGTGGTGATGATACGCACCCCAACCCTCTGGGGCAGCACTCTCTCCTGCTCACCTGCTCGGCCTCGGTCCAGCTCCCTCATGACAAGATAATGAGGCCTCCATGCCCTCACTGTAGCCTGGCTTGCTGCTCACCAGTCTGGTTCCTGTGTCCCCAAGTCAGCCCTCCCAGGGGTCTCAAAGCCCCACTCACCTTGCCTTGACCTTGAGGTAGGGCCTGAGCAGGGTCCCTCCCACGTGCCCCTCCTCTTTGTGTGTAGCTCACACATCCTTCTCCACTAGGGCCAGGCCCATCTGATTTCTCTGAGGGTCCATCTTCTGACACTCTGCAGCAAGGGCAGGAGGCCTAGAGCACCTCTATGCTCCAACTCCCTCCCCGGCAGCCTGCCCTGGTGCCCCGTCAGCACAGCTACAGGGTGTGCTGCTCTCGGAAAGCGCTGGCTCTCAGGGCCAGCTGGCAGGCCTTGGGCCAGATGCAGAAAACCTACACCGGGTACTCCTTCCTTCCTTCTCCTGCTACACTTCCCAAAGCTGCCGCAAGGAGCCACCAACAGAAGCCTCTGCCATAACCCCCTATATGGTCCACTGCACCTCTGGTTT